AGTCTTCAGTCTTCAGGGGAAAGAGAAAGTGTGCTCCCAGAGCCAGAAGGGACCTGGTTTATATGGACAGAAGTACCCTGCTCTGGTCCCTGATTGATTTTTCAAATGAGGACTCCAACCCCTTGCAGTTTGATTGGTCCAAATGGCACTGTCCTAGTTGGTCAGAATAGAGCTGCTCTGGTTGGTTGGAGCTGCACAGCTTCAATTGGATGGGGGAAAGCCTTAGTCCTATTGGTTGAAATAGGATTCCAGGAACTCCTTTTTAAGGGCAACTCAGATGGCAGAAACACAGTGCAGGCAGGCAGTTCAGTGCAGAGGCAGGTAGTTCAATGCAGGCTTCTCCCTGAAATGCAGTTTACATGAGAGGCTCCTATGTGAAAATGGCTGCTAGGCTCTGTTTTCTTTTTTAATCCTCACCTGAAGATACGTTTTTCATTGATTCTAGAGAGAGAGGAAGGGAGAGAAAGGATAGAGAAACATCACTGTGGGAGAAACAACAGTCAATTGCCTCATGTACGCACCTCAACTGGGGATCAAACTCGTGATCCTTTGGTGCACAGGATGACACTCTAACCACTGAGCCACATCAGCCAGGGCTAAGCTCTGTTTTCTTAAAATTTGAGCCCAGTTAGCCACCAGGAGCCCTTTTTAGTAGGTGTCTTCTTTCTCAGGGTTCACAAGTCCGTAGTTTAATTAGAGTTCACTCTTGATGTTGTACATTCTGTGGGTGTCTACAAATACACAATGTCCTGTATCCACTGTTACAGGATCCTGCAGTTTCACTGCCCTAGAATTCCTTTGTGCTCCACCGATTACTTATCTCTCTCTTCTCTAAGGTCTGGCAACCCCTGAATTTATGCTGTCTTTATAGTTGCCTTTTCCAAGAAGGTCATAGATATGGAATCGTACAGCAGGTAGCCTTTCAGACCGTCTTATTTTACTTACATCTGTGAGTTTTTACAAATGCATAGAGTTGTGTAGCACCACAATCAAGATACAGAACAGTTCCGTCACAGCCAGCTTCCCTTGTGCTGCCCTACTGTAGTCATCCCCTCTCCCATGCCCAGCTGCAGCAACCACTGAACTGCTCTTTATCCCCTGTAGTTCTGCTTTTCCCAGAATATCATCATATAGGGTAATATGGTATGTGGCCTTCTGAGGTGGGCGTTTTCCACTCTGTAATATACATTTTAAATCCATCCATGTAGCTGTGTGGATCTGTTCATGCCTATTCCTGCAGAGTAGTGTCACCAGTGTGGCTGTTTAGCCATCCCCCAGAGGCACAGGGCTGTTTATAGAGAATAAGCAACTTTAAACATTCTTTTCCTGGACACCTCTTCAGGGAAGGAGAGTGAGTATATGCCTAACTCTGTGTGGAACTGCCAGAACCTTCCAGGGAGAGTTCCAGTTGCTCCCCATACTTGATGATTTCAGTTTATTCTTTTGAACCATCCTAGTGGGTGTGAAGTATTTCATTGTGGTTTTGATTAGCATTTCCCCGATGACTAATGATGTTTAACATCTTTCTTGTGCTTCTTTACCATCTGTATGTCTTCTTTGGTGAAGTGTTTGTTCACATCTTGTGCCTGTTTTCTTATGTTTGAGTTTCAAATGATCTTTATATACTCTAGACACAAGTCTTTTGTCAGATAGGTGATTTGTAAATATTTTTTCCCAGTCTGTGACTTGTCTCGTTATTCTCTTTACTAGTGTCTTTCAAAGGGCAGAATGTTTACTTTTGATAAAGTCCAGTTTGCCATCTTTTTCTTTCGTGGACTAAAGTATTATAGCTAAGAACCCTTTGCCTAATAAGGTCACAAAGATGTTCTCTTGTTTCCTTCTAAAAGATTTATTGTTTGATGTTTAAATCCATGATCTACTTTGGATTAATTTTTGTATATGATGTGAGGTTTATACCTAGGTTCATTTATTTTGGTCTATGCGTGTCCAGTTGTCTCAGCCTCATCTGTGGAAAGGACCATCCTTTATCCATTCACTGGTTTTGCATCATCTGAGGTCAAGTGACTGTACTCTGTGGGTCTTTTTTTGGACTTTTAATTCTGTTCTGTTGATTTGTGTCCCTTCTTTCACCAATAGACAACAGTTTCTAGGTACAAAGCAAAAAGCTTGTAAAGGTGAAACAGCAAAGGAGTGGGGGGATGTATGGTGCCTTGATTTAAGACCAGGAAACATTGAGTATTTAACCAACTTCCTGTCTGTGGTTCTCATGCAGACCTTTTTCAATTAACTGTGAATCTCCTTTTATAAAGTTATAGAATTAGATAAAGGATTAAATGAATTGAGGAAAGCTCCAAAATTAAATCTTATTACTGGTCGCAGACCCAGAAGCATGCTTATTGGATTTATCAAATAGCTTTGTAGAGAAGAGAAGAAAATAAACCTCTCAGAAAGGAAAGCCAGGTCCTATGCACTTAGAGGACTTACTCTGTTGCTTGTTTTGTGAAAATAACACTCAAATGTTCAGATAGAATCATCTGTGTTGTTACATTCCATCAGAGGTCAAGCTGGCCTGTCAGTAGTCTCGCCTGTCTTTCAGCTGCGGGGCTGGTATGGGAGGGTGGGGAGTACAGACCATGTCCTAGGACCAAGGCTGGCCCTGAGAGAGCTCTCTTTTTCTTTAAAATCCTTACTCAAGGATATTTTCCAATGATTTTCAGCTGGGGTAGGAGGGAGGGTGAGAGGGAGAGAGACAGAGAGAGAGAGAGAAATATTAATGTGAGAGAGACACATTGATTCGTTGCCTCCCACACAACCCCAACCAGGGCTGAGGATTGAACCACAACCGAGATACGTGCCCTTGACCAGAATCGAACCCTCAACTCTGGTCCATGGACCGATGCTCTAACGGCTGAGCCAAACTGGCCAGGGCTTTTTTCTTAAGTCCTCACCCGAGAATTCTTTTTTCTATTTATCTTCAGATAGAGTGGGAGGGAGGTAGAGAGAGAGAAACATCAATGTAAGAGAGACACATCACTGGTTGCCTCCCACACGACCCGACCAAGGTCGGGGATGAACCGCGACCAAGGTATGTACGTGCCTTTAACTGGAATTGAACCCGCGACTCATTGGTCTGTGGGCTGACGCTCTAACTGCTGAGCCAAACCGGCCAGGGCCTGAGTGATCTTTTCTGTGTGAACTTGAACACGACTTTACCTTGTACAGGCTCCAACCTCAGGCTGCTCATAAAATTTTCATTTGAGAGAAAAGGAAAGGGATTTTATTCTCAGAATGGTTATCTAGTCATAAAAAGGGAGCTGCTCAATTTCACTTAAAAAAAAAAAAAAGGAAGTCATAAAATAGCAGTTTAACGGAAAATGTGATTATCACAAACACAGGTGCCACATGACACAGCTCCACCTGCTCTTTTAAGTCTTGCCTGATACTGTTTAATTTTGTTTGGGGATTGATGCAACCAACAGTGTTGATGGGCAGAAAAGTCCACTTGTCCCCAGAGCTCTTTATTAGAGGAGATTGTTTAAGAATCTACTTGGTGCTTAATTATTGTTCTTTTAAAACTCTCCTCCTTGCTCCCTCCTCTGTACCCGTGCGTCCAGCATCATTCACATTCACACCTCCTTGTGGCCCTTTAACTCCCCCAAGTTCAGGTGGCTAAGACTCAAGCATTTGGTGTTGGTGGAGCGTGGTGGTTGTTGATGCGGACTCTTATCCTCTCTGAGTTGCTCCTCCTGACAAAATGGGGGGATGGGGGTTGGCTGGGGTCACAGCTGGGAGTTGGCCAATTTAAAAAGTTGGTTTAAACACAGAGTTATGAAAACAATATGCATGGACCTTGAACCTTCTTTAAAACATAAGCCTACATTTGTTTACCAACCACAGGGTGGCTGGCCAAGGCCTTTTCTTAGACTGAGGCCCATTCTCAGAGTTCTGGGTTGTTTCGATCTTAAAAAGCTATAGCCAAGATGCATCTTTTGCGATGAACCATTTTCTTTTTTTTTAATTTTTTATTTTTTATCCTCACCCGAGGACATTTTTCCATTTTTTGTACAGATAGAGTGGGAGGGAGAGAGAGAGAGAGAAACATCGACGTGAAAGGGACACATTGAGTGGCTGCTACCCGCACGACCAACCAGGGCCGGGGACAAACTGCAACTGAAGTACGTGTACGTGCCCTTAGCGGGAACTGAACCCGGGTCTCTCCGGACCGCAGGCCGATGCTCTAACCGCTGAGCCAAACCGGCCAGGGCGCGATGAACCATTTTCAAGGGGGACAAGAGCATAGGGGCCCACAGTAGTGGGATTGCAGAGTGCTTCCAAATCACTCTTCATCTTTCATAGTTGTGTTGCCCACACTTAACTGCCATTTTTTAGAAAAACAACCTACCCTTATTGAGTATTTCCAAAGCATTCTAAGTGCTTTTGTTACAAGGCACTATTTCTGTGGCTTTTGTACTCGTGTATAGTATTTCTTTAATTCTAACATTACGTAAACTACTTCCACAGCAGTGTTCAGACAGAGTGTCACTGACAGGTATGGCAGACAGACTTGAGGCAGGCCCTGCTGACTCTGGGCCTGCCTGCAGGTCAGTTGAGAGGAGTACGAATGCATGTTGGCCTTGAGTGCCCTGTATCCCCAGTCCCAGACAGTGTGGTTTACAGAGGGACTGGGGGATGTTGCTGACGGGGAGATGAGTTCACCTAGAGCTGGGTAGGTCACATAGAGGTGGGTTGAGACCTACTCTCAAGGGATCCTGAGGAGGAGGAGAGAAGGGTGCATCGCCTGGTGTCAGGGCTTTCCAGGGGTGGGATAGCAGCTGATGCTGCACCAGTCACCAGGCAGGATTTTTCCTGTGAATGGTAGGCACCCCTATTGCAGTGTGAGGTGTGATTGGGAAAGTATTGGGGCATCCAGAGTCATGGGGCTGAGCAGGGGCTCTAGATCTGGAGGCCAGAATGGGGTCAATAGTAGTGAGTTAGTATTCACTTAGAGATGTCAGCACTTCTTTAAAACTTTTTTCCAGGGCCACCACAGTACGTTACAAAGGAAGAAACCTACGTATCAAAGCGCCCATGTGCCGAGCCCTGAAGAAGCTCTGTGATCCAGATGGTACGTAGAAGGTGGGCTGGGGTGGAACTGGGAGGTGTGGTTCTGCTCCATTTAGCAATGGACAGGCTAAGCTCTATGTCTGAGCCTTCCTAATTCCATGGGTAACTCTTGGGTTCAAAGCAATGTGTCTACTCAGTAAATCATGGTCAGTTCAGAAGCCACAACAGCATTAAGAATGGAGTGTTAGCAGTGTCAGGAGTGAGTTTCGTGGCCTCACATGGCCCAATTGTTGCTCTGGCTTTGTGGGTATCCTAGTGGGCATATTGGCACATCGCTAGACACAACTCCTTGTGGGCTTGTCCACCAACTCTGCTTTCCCTCCCAGGCCGTTTACCCATGGTTCCTTCCTGACTCAGAGTTGTTTGGCCAAGTACTTTGCTTTCTGCATGGCAGTCTATCTGCCAGGCTCTCAAGGCCCCCTTTTTGTCGCAGGCTTGAGTGACGAGGAGGACCAGAAGCCAGTGCGCCTGCCCTTGAGAGTCCCTGTAGAGCTGCAGCCAAGGAACAATCATGCCTGGGCCCGCGTGCAGAGCCTTGCCCAGAACCCCAGGCTCAGGTAACTGCCTTTGGTGTTTGTCGGGAAGCCAGCTGTGAGGGATGGGGACAGGGCAGTGTTTCAATTCTGTCGCGGACTCCAGAGAGAGCAGATTTTACCCAGTGCTCCAAAATTATGTCGGGGTATGATGTGAGGGTAGTGCACTGTTCTTGGAGGCATGAGCAGGGTGCAGAAGGATGTCGTGATTATCAGGTTGATGGCTGTAGAATCGTTCCCCCATAAACCCCTTTCTGTTCCTCTCTTACTATTTCCCTAAAGGTTTGCGTCTGGCGTATGGGCAGGGCACCACTGTGCGTATGGATCATTTTCCAATTATACATTATTTTTTAGATTGATGTAAAAATCACCTAACATAGAATGAACCATTAGCCATTTTAAGGTGTCTGATTCAGGACATTTGAGTACCTTCACAGTATTGTACAACTACCACTTTTATTTAGTTCCAAAACATTTTTATCATACCAAAAGGAAACCTCATACCCACTAAGTGATTGCTTCCCATTCGCCACCCCTGGTTCCTGCCCCCAGCAACTAAAAATGTATTTTCTTTGTAGATTGGCTGTTCTGGTTATTATGCATAAGTAGAATTTCATACTATGGTCCTTTATTTCTGATCTCTCTCACTGAGCATCATGTTTTGAGGTTCATCCATGTTGTAGTGTGTCCATGCTTCATTTCCTCCATATGTATTTTTATTCTCTTGGGGTTAATTCAGGCTAGCCACTTGTTGAACCCAAAAGGGACTTAGTAGAAGAGGTTGGAGTGGGTTGTGCCAAGGTATTCTAGGTGAGATCTTACACTGTATGGGGTACACAGATCTCTTCTTTATCTTGGAGTTTCATGAGAGTTGCCAGTTATCTCAATTTAAAAGGTAATTTTTAAAAAATGGAGTCAGTGGCCCTGCTTAGATATCGTGGCTCTGGCCCCTTCATGGTGCCCTTCCTAGAAGCCTTTACTTTTTATGGCATTGTCTTGCTGCCAGCTGCCTCTGGGGCTGTTCAGAAAGTTTCATCTCCATGGTAACAACCCTCCTTTTCCCATCTGTTGTTTTCAATAGGATGATTGTGGAGCTCCATCGGAAGGTCTCCAGCCTCATCGAATTCTTGAAGCAGAAATGGGAGCTCCATGAAGTACGAATTGTATCTTTTTCCTACTAAAGCAAACCCCTTCACCACCACCAAATTCCACAGCATCTGCCTCAGGATGGTGGCTGTCTTCCCTCTCACTCTGGGATTGCATTGGGGCTCCCATGTGGCATAGCAGCTATGCCGTAAGATGACTTAGAACCAGAACTAAAACCCGTAGCCCCTTGGCCTGTGGGTTGTTTGTGTGATCTCCTTTCTGACCTTGTAGTGCTAGAATTCTGTCACAGCAGCCCTTCATGTGGTAAGTACCACCATTTGGCCTGTGGGGTGTGGCCCAAGCATTCCTCTGAGCAGGTTGATCAAAATAACTAAGGATGGCTCCAGATTTCTTCTCCTCCTTAGCCAGCTCCCAGCCCTGCCCAGTCCCCAGCCAGGACAGCGTGTGTTGGGAGTGAAGTTTATAAAGGAGGAAATGTCTGAGTCATGCTTTCCTGAGGCCTTGTAATGCCCGGGGGCGGGTGCTGCTGCAGGTGGTTCCTTGACTGTGCACTCAGCGAAAGACGCTGTCGGAGCGGCAGCTGCAGGACTCGTTTGTGGAGCCGACACAGGAGAAAGGGGTGTTGCACCTATTCCCAGGGGAGAACTGTACGCTGACCCCGCTTCCGGGAGTGGCCCGTGTGGTACACTCTAAGGCCTTCTGCACAGTGCATTGGCAGGAGGGTGGCCGGTGCAAACAGAGTTCCAAGGATGCCCACACGCTCCCTCCAGCTCAGATCCTGGGCATCCAGAGTGGGCAGGGTACAGCCAGGGGCCAGGTGAAGTGCCCGAGGAGCGGCACCGAAGGCAAGGGTGGGGGGCGGCCTCCTCCCTCCACAGATGCTTCTCAGAGCTCCGGAGAGAGTTCCCCAGAAAGTGTCCTTGGCGAGGGGGCTGCCCCAAGCCTCAGCAGCCCAAGTGCTCCCGACAGGCTTCCCTCTGGGCTCCAGGACGCTGGGGTACATCTTGAAAAGATCTCTGTAGCAGCTCCTGTAGAGGGCGGGGATGGCCCAGCCCAAGAGCCTGGGGCCACGACATGTGCCTGTGGCCAGCTCCCGGAGCTGGAGGATGATCTCTCTCTCCTGGACCCCTTCCCCCGCTACATGAAGTCCTGCCAGGACCTCATCATCCCTGAGCCGTGCCACTGTGCAGACTCTCGTCCTTCAGCGTGTGTCTCCCCAGAGACTCGCACTCCCAGCAGCGCAGAGGTGGCCAACCTTGCCCAGGCCAGGGCACCATCCCCCATCCGCAGCCTACCTGGCCTGGAGCCTCAGCCCAGCCCAGGGCTCCAGCCAGATGTTTGCACTAAAGACTTGGCAGATGCTCCTGCAGAGGAACCCCAGGAGAAGGCGAGCCCCTCGGACCTCCCACCACCTCAGGGACAGCCTTCTGCCAAGCCTCTGAAAGACATCCCTGCCAGCCGCCTGGCCCAGCAGCTCCGAGAAGAGGGCTGGAACCTGCAGACCTCCGAGAGCCTGACACTGGCCGAAGTCTACCTCATGATGGGAAAGCCGAGCAAGCTGCAGCTGGAGTACGACTGGCTGGCTGTGCTGGGCCCTGAGGGCCAGACCCCAAGTGGTTCCCCGCCTGCCGCATTCCACAAGCAGCGCCTCCTCGGCTGCCTCCTGAAGCTCATCTCCACTGAGGTCAACCCCAGGCTGGTGAGTGAGAGTCCAGCAGGGCAGGCAGCTGGGAGTTCTGCAGGCTCCTCAGAGAAGGACAAGGGGCAGGGACCCCAGTGACCAGGGAGGCAGAGATTCTCACAGGCCATGTTTTGTTCTATTGAGTGGGACCATGCAGAGCACTGGTTGGGGCTTTGGCTCCCCTGCCAGGAGAGGGCCCTGTCCTTCCAGGCTCACACAGGGCTCCAAAGAAGATAGCGACCAACAGGCCATGCCTATTGGGGCTTGCTTGGCTCTAGTGATTCTGCTGAGGCTTGTGCATGCCAGCTAAGGGGTTAGTGTGCAGAGGTGAGGTGGCAGGCTTGGCCTAGAGCTGAGCCAGATTGGGCTTTCTCTAAGTGTCAGGAGTGCTGTAGGCTTCTGCATAAGAATGACAAGGTTGAGTTTGCACTTTACTTTTATTTATTTTTAAAATACGTTTTTATTGATTTTTTAGAGAGAGAGAAACATCGATGTGAGATAGAAACATGGATCAGCTGCCTCCTGCACCCCCCCTACTGGGGATTGAGCCCGAAACCTGGGCATGTGCCCTGACTGGGAATCAAACCAGGACCGCTCAGTCCATGGTGCGATGTTCAATCCACTGAGTCACACCAGCTGGGCTGAGTTTGCATTTTAGAATGGCCATCCTGGGAGGACAGTGGTGGCACAGCCTTGATGGAGGGAGATAGTGGAGCTGGGAGGGGACAAATGGGATGCTAGGGTTCGAGCTGCACTGTATGGAGCTTATTTGTGTGGGTCTGCACCCAGGAATCCTCTGCAGGCAGACCTTTGTAGATAGCTGTCCAGGAGATGGCTAGTTGAAATGGTCTGGGGCTCCTCAGGTGGGTCCAAGGTATGTGGTGGTCCCTGAGCCCAGGGAGTGGCCATGATGGTCCAGGGGAGGGGGAGGTCATGCCAGGTAGGCTTGTGACACCCCCCCCCTCCCCCAGCCCCACCTGGAGCTGCAAATGGAGCAGAGACTTTTGCTGACGGGAAAGGCTCAGAGGCTCTCCTGGACACGGGAGCAGAGTCCTGTGGCGGGATATTCCTGAAATAGCGGTGTGTACGTGCTATTTAGAAGCCTGAAGGCTCATAGGTTTCAGGAGGAACAGTTGAGGGAGCGGAATGCTGTGGCTTTTGGGGAACAGGCTGAACTGCAGGCTCACTGGGCACCACTCAGTGCTGATTCACATTCAGAACCAAGGGGAAGGGCTGCCTGGGAACGCACACCACACCTTCCACTTTGCCTTGGCAGACACTCGGTCTGTGACTTCGCTGTTCTGCCTTGGTTTTCGGTGTGACTCTCACCAAGTTCCTCTCGTTTTCTCAGTTGCGCCCCTGCGCAGTGCTTGCACAGAGAGGCTCTCAGTAGAGTAGTGGTGAAGTGAATCGGTGCCTCCTGAGAGAGATGGCTCTCGCAAGGGTGACTGGGAACTGGCTGGACACTATAGAAGCTCATAAGGCAAGGCCTGATGATGAGCAATGGCCTTTGGATTTCACAGAGTGGAGGTGATCTTTGGGCAGGCATGGGCAATACTAGGGTGACTGCACAGAAATGATGAGCTTAAAATGTTTTCAAGTTTGTCTTTTGGAAGGGTCACGAAAGGAGATGGGGTGCACATAAGTATGCCCACTACGCTAGAGAAGGAGGCTAAGCTAGACCAGCTCCTGAGAAGGTTGGAGGCAACGAGGCTGAGGTAGTGGACTTGGCCTCATCTGAAGAGGAGAGTGGGGTAGGTTGGAAATATTATTGCAGAGAATGCAAAGTAGGGTGCTCAGAGCCACAGTTCCCAAAGAAGGTCCCATCATCACCTGGGAACTTGTTAAGAGATGCAGCTTCTTGGGGCTCTCTAGACCATTTTGACATCCTATACCAGGTGATACTGATGCTGCTCAGGTGTGAGAACTGCTGACCAGGGGACCTTGAATTAGAGGTAGACAGCCTGACCTTGTGGTCTCCCTCCTGCTGAAGTTTGTATGAATCACTGACAAGTGTTCCCTGGGGTCAGGATGCTTGACAAGAGGCTGGCTGGGCACCAGTTGGGCAATTGAATAGTGAGTGAGATTGAATAAACTAAGCAAGGAGGGATGGAGAGGTGGTGATGATAGTCCCATGGAAAGAAGGTGGATGAGGGCTGGGGGCTGAAGGGCCATGGGAAATACAGGAGGAGGCGTGGGGCCCTGAGCAAGCAGAGGAGGTGAGGCTGTGCTGAAAGCATGGACAATGGGTTCTGTAATTCATTGGAAGTTTCTCCTAGGTGGGCCTTGGGTGTGGATACCGGGGAGAATGAGGAGAAGGGCAGGGTTGGCAAAGTCACCAGGGTGAGAACAGAACTAGATGGAAGGGTCTCTGTCGAGGACCCAAGAGTAGAGGCAGTGGCCTCAAACAGTAGCCTATGAAACCCTGGGGTTTGGGCTTTGACTAAGCAGGAAGCTCCTCAGCTGTGATTGTGTTTAATTCTAGAAGTTAAATCTGTATGTCCTTCTGACTCACCATCAGAAGAGACCACTGCAGTCATCTTAGGCTTGCTTTTTTAAAAGGCAAGTTACTGTCGCTTTCAATTCAGCGTCTTCTGACAGCTTGAGCCCTTCCTGGGCAGGTGGGGGTGCCCACTGCTTTCATCCATGTGTCCCTCTCTCCCTTCCTCATTCCCTTCCATCACTCCCTGATGGTTTGCCTGTCTATGCCACCTGTCTGTGGGCAGTAAGGACAGAGGTTTCAGGCGGGAAAGCCTTGGTTCCCCTGAGTGCCTACCTGACTGGTGATTTTGAATGCTGGCGCTGCTGAGTGACTCAGGGATGCTGACCTTTGCCATCATGGAAGTGTGGTCTCCTAGCCTTTGCTGTCCCTCTAAATTTACGGAGTTCTCATGCCTCCTGTTTCTGGGTACTCATTCCAGAATCATTGTTCACAGGCTGAGTTTGGTTGTTGTGTCTGCCCATTTCTCTCCTAGGCTCCAGAATCGAACACCAGCTCCATGGCTTCAGTGAGACCGGCCCAGGAGGAGCAGTCAACCACCCCCCCTGGGAAGGTGATGAACATTAGCTCTCGGAGCCCCCGCTGCCCTCGAAACCAGTCTGCCCTTCGCAACAACAAGACTTTTTCTCCCAGCTCCACACCTTGCCCCTCCTCAGGTGAGGCTTGGCAGCCACTTTTACCCATCCTGGGCACACCACTGGGTGTGGGTCTGTGTCAGGGCTGAAGGCACAGGGATGCCTAAGGCCTGGCCCCACTCAGTCAGCCACGGTCCAGCAAGGCAGGGAGGGTGAGTGTGGGCCTGTCACCACCGGGTTTTGAGCCCTAGGGTGCAGGAGCCAGTGGGAAACATGGGGTAGCCCTTGCCAGTGTGTTTACTTTTGGTGGATTATGCTTAGTGGGGTCATGCTGAGTTGGTGGCTTAAAGTCTAAGAAGGGTTGGTTCTTTCTGAATATTCTAGAGACTATTTTTCTTTGCACCTAAAATATTAAAGAAACCTAAGTTCAGGAACTTCCCAGCAGTATAACAGAAGAGAGTCTGACCTGCCAGTCCACTGTGTGCCTTTGCCCCAGTTGTGTATCTGGGAGACATTTTAATTCTGGGTTCTTATTTGGGTTACTGGGTACATAAAACCATGGTCAACCTGACCTGTTTCCCTGAGACATCAGGTTTTTTTTGCTAGTTTTTTATAGTAAAACTTTAATTATCATGGCTAGAATCACAAATTTTAAAGGTAGAAAAAGGGCCCTGGCCTGTTTGGTTCAGTGGTTAGAGCATCAGCCTGCCATCCAGGGAGACCTGGGTTCCGTTCCCACTAAGGGCGCTTACCTTGGTTGCAGTTTGTCCCTGGCCCTGGATGGGTCGTACGGGTGGCAGCCACTCGATGTGTCCCTTTCACATCGATGTCTCCCTCTCCTGTCTCCCCTCCCCCTCCCCCTCTCCACAAAAAAATGGAAAAGTGTCCTCAGGTGAGGATAAAAAAAAATTAAAAGGTAGAAAAAGGAATGTGCGTGCATTCTGTGGCCCTGCCCTGTGTGATCCTGGCATAAGTCTGCAGGACGTGCATGAGCCCTCCTTCCTCTCACCCAGCAAAGTCCTACAACTCTTCCTCTGAGCTGATGAGGTGGGGATGGCTGGGGCTGCAGGGAGAGCAGGGGCTGAGAGCTGGTACATTCTCTGTGTCCTTTGCCCCAGAAGGCCTCTACACTAGGCGTGAAGAGTGTTGTTATTGTTTCTGTAGGCAGACTTTCTTGCTGCAGAACCTGGGCCGCCTGGGACATCTTGAACATCTGCACTGGCCAGGGTCTCTGCAATGGTGTGCGTCATGCAAGAGACGAGGCAGTCCTGCCTCTGTTCTTACTCTGATCTAGATGGGTGCCCCCAAACCTGCAGTAACTTCTGTCCTGGTGTGTTAATGCTTCTCCAGGGCAGCGATTTTCGATCTTTTTCATCTCATGGCATGCAAACTAATTACTAAAATTCTGCTGCACATCAAAAATATATATTTTTTTCAGATCTGACCAAAAAAATAAAAGTAGGTGTAATTTTGATTTATTCACATTGGACAGCTATTGTTGTATTGGCTATTGTCATTTTTTATTGACAGTCTAAGGGAAAAGAAGTCAGTGACTGACTAAATAGTCAGGTATTGCACATTTTAAAAATTCTTGCCGCACACTGGTTGAAAGTCACTGCCCTAGAGTTATTTTCTGTTCAGAGAATGTTCCTAGCATTATGTTTTCTCCAACTTACTGTGTTGCAAATAGCCTGCCTGTTAATTGCTTGAAGATTCCATTTCCTTGAGAGCATTTCATAGAGGCCTTCAAGGAAACTGGGCTGCTGCGGTCAGGTTCTCTACCTCCTGCAGTTCTTATTTTTGTTTCCTCACCTTTTATCCCATTTCCTTGCTATAGCTCATGAGAAGGCAGCAGCACACTGAATCAGTTATTCTCACAGGTATAGGCAAGGTACTCGATGGTAAGGCCAGCTGGTAGAGTGGGTAGTCTTTTCATGTTCTGTTGTTTTATTCCAAATCCTCACCCAAGGATATTTTTCCATTTATTTTCAGACAGAGTGGGAGGGGGAGGAAGAGAGAGAAACATCGATGTGAGAGAGAGAGACATCGATTGGCTGCCTCCTGCATGACCCTGACCAAGGCCCGGGGCTGAACCACAACCAAGGTACATGCCTGAGACCAGAAGTGAACCCAAGGCTCTGGTCTGCAGGCCGATGCTCCAGCTGTTGAGGCAAACCAGCCAGGGCTCGCACTGTTTTTAAAATTTTGTAATTCTGTGATTCTGTGTACTTTTTTTTTTTTGGTATGTGCCCCTAGCGGAACCGAACCCGGGACTCTCTGGTCCACAGGCTGATGCTCCAACCGCTGAGCCAAACTGGCCAGGGCTCGTGTACTTTTTAATACCTGCCCTCTTTCTGGATTGAAGATGCTTCTAGACCAGTGCACTTGCAGTGCTAGAATCCACACAAGTGCTTAGAAGACCTGGTCTGTGGATGCCATATCAGTGTAACCTCACAGATTTGCAAGTAAAGAATAAGGGAAGGAGACCCATTCTACCATGAATCAAGGGTGCTTTGCATCAGCATCTACGATAACGAAAACAGCTAGCAGAGTCCCAAAATAGTGGTTCCTGAATAAATATTTTCTATCTCTTTGTCTCTGGGTCTGTTTTTTGTACAATCAGGGATTTAGACCAGGCATCAGCAAACTATGGCCCACAGTCTACTTGTAAATAAAGTTTTATTGGCACATGGCTGTGCTCACTGGTGCATGCACATGTTGTCTATAGCTGCTTTTGTACTGCAGTTGCAGAGCTGGGTTTAGCAGAGGCAATAACCTACATTTATTATCTGGCCCTTTAAAGAGAGTTTGCTGATGTCTTTTCTACACTAGATGTTCTGGTAGGTTCTTCTAGCTCTGAGAAATGAAGGCACAGCTGCCTATCCCACTGAGGATCAAACAAAATGATATAGTACCTTCATTATTTCAGGAAGAGCTATGATCTGTTCAGGGTAGAAACTAGAATTTCAGGGAAAAAGATAGAAAAGCATATTTTATGGGACTAAGAAAAAGGAAATTCCTTTCCGGGAAACTGAACAGGTTGACAAGAATTCTTCCTAATTTTCTTCCCAGTAGAACTCCATTCACACGAGATGTTGCTGGGTGAGTATAGGTGTATTCACTCCCCTTGTCCTCTTTCAGGTTTGAGAAATCCTCCAAGACCCCTCTTGGTGGCTGGTTCCTCTAGTACAGGAAGCAGTGACTCAGATGGTGGCCTTTTTGCTGTCCCAACAACTTTGCCACCCAACAGCCGACACGGGAAACTCTTCTCTCCCAATAAAGAAACAGAATTGACTTTCCTTCAGCACTTGAACTCCATCAGCGTAAGTGCAGGGACTGTGCCCCTCTGCTTGCGAGCTGACCCATGTTTGCTGTGAAAACACTCTCAGGGATCGGGCACTGTTTTCCTCACAGATGCAGTCGGATTTCTTCTTGCCAAAGCCCCGGAAGCTGCAGAACCGGCACCTACGGAAGCCGCTGGTAGTCCAGGTCAGGAACCCTGGTCAGGTTTGCGTGGCTGGCCTCCCACTGGCCAAGCTGCTAGACACACTGGTTTTCTCTCATGTCTTGGGTGTTCACCTGAAATGGGGAATCCCTGCCCCTTTCTTTCTTCTTTAGAATAGGGTAAATAAAGTAATAACAGTAACTCTAACTGTACCTGAAAATAAAGATTTGCACAACATGAAAACCACTTGCAAAAAAAGACAAAGTTCTGGGGATTCAAGTCCAAAAATGTTCAACATTGGGGTATATTTGAGGACATTCAGAATATCCCTTTATAAATATGTAGTCAGTGAAAGCAGTTGGCAAGGTGTATGGATTGGCCAGAGTCCAGACCTCTCCACAGCTCATGATGATAAACACTGGGGGACCTATAGGTGACAGGCAGGCCAGAGGGGAGAGGCAGGAATGAGACGCGTGTGAGAAAAGGGGCAGTCTTATATGGAGGTAAAAAGATAAAAGGTGAAACTGGAATTCTGAAATGACAATGGGCTTAGAAAGTTATGAATATGCATTGTTTGGGGTTTAATGCATAGTTCTCCTTTTGTTAGACCCTTAGAAATCTTTTGAATTTAATTTATTTAGAAATGAGAGATATACAATGGGTCTTAGGAAGGAAGATGTATTTAAAACCCTAAATGCTTTTGTGTTTGTGTGTATGTGTGTATGTGTGTGTGCAGACTACAAAGGACTCTTGAAGAATGCAGGGGTTAAGGATGCTAACCTCCTGTACAGTCAGAAATTCATGTATAACTTTTGACTCCTCGAAAACTTAAGTTGTCCCTCAGCATTCATAGGGGATTGATTCTAATGCCCAACAGGCACCAAAATCTACAGATACTTAAGTCCTCTATATAAAATGATTTAGACAATGCATATAGTCATCCCTCTACATCCGTGGACTCCCAACCACAAATTGAAAACAGTACAGGTATTTATTGAAAAAACAAAAACAAAAACATTTATAAGTGGACCTGCACAGTTCAAACCTGTGTTTTAGGGCCAACTGTAATTTAGTGTTAATGTATTTGGTTTTAGTATATTTGATGAAGTATTTTAACAGCTTTATTGATATATAATTCATGTACTACGTCCACTCATTTAAAGTATACAGTTTGATGGTTTTTAGTATATTCACAGGGTTGTGCAGCCATCACCACTGTCAATTATCAGAACATTTTTATCACTCCAAACAGAAACCCTGCACCCATCACCTGCATTGCCCCCTTCCACCAGTTCCTGGCAGCCACAAAGCCACTTTCAGTCTCTGTGGATTTGCCTGTTCTGGGCACTCATATAAATGGAATCACACACAATATATGGTCTTTTCCATTTATTGTTTCTATAAAAAATTTAATTGGCACATAGCTAGTCATTTATTTCCCTACTGTCCACAGCTGCTTTCACATCACCAAGGTGGAGATGAGTAGCTGGAACAGAGAACATGTTTTAGTCCTCTCAGAAAGTGCATTTGGAGCAGGGCTGGCACATCTGCAGCTCCTCACCTTGTTACCAGGTCACCCCGCCTCCTTGCAGCAGCCGAGCGATCTGCTGGTCTTGTTGGGGTTGCAGCCCCGTAACACCTCCTCTATTCTTTGCCAGCCCTTTGGGGCGCCTCTGAGGCGCACGGAGATAGATGTCCTTTGTGCATCAGTAGAGACGCAGCTGTGCCCCCAGAGCCAGAAGTCCTTGGGACACTTGGGTTGACAGATATGTTCTGTTAATGTTTTACTTCAATGAGTAACAGTTTCAGCAGTTAATATAACTTATTAAAACAATTTTTTTTTTTTTTTACTGATTTTGAGAGGGGTGGGGGTGGGGGGAGAGAAAGAAAAAGAAACATCAGTTTCTTGTTGTACTTTGATTGGTAGTCTCCTGTATGTGCCCTGACCAGATTGAACCTGCAATCTTGGCATATGGGAATGATGCTCTAACCAACTGAGCCACCCCCCGGGGCTAATATACTTTATTTAGATGGTGTTCTTCACATTAGAACTTATTTATTCACACACAGGAGCCCTGGGCAAATAGGGGAGAGATGGGCACCCAGACTCTTGGATGGGGTGGAGGGTCTCAGTTCCTCAGCCCATCTGTGTTACAGGCAGCAACTTTATTTTCTTCACCCCGAATTTGAGGAGGCCCAGAATACATGGCTCTCCTTATTAACAGTCCACATCGAGTGGTTATAAACATATATGTCTAGTTAGTTGTATTCCATCCAAATCCAGAAAACTGTTCTGGATTAACAGTGGACGGTTCTGACATTCTTCCAGTTTTCCTGCTGGGGGAAGGTTTGATCCCTTGGGTTTTTTTCAGAGAGGACCCAACGTTCAGAGTTTGATTGGTCCATAGGACGTAACCACCCTCAGGCTGTTCCAGGCTCCCTTGTGTCATTAGTTCTAGAACCAAAACCATCTGGTTACACTCAGCTCACTATTATCTGGAATATCCCTGTACAGTTCTTCCCTGGTTTCCTGAGTCATTTCTGGTGTTTGAGTATTTTTATCACCTGACTGTTAACAATTTTCCCTCCACAGAGAACCCTGCTTCCTAGACCTTCCGAAAACCAGTCCCACAACGTGTGCTCCTTCTCTATCATGTCAAATTCCTCCATAACTGGTAAGCTCTGGGTCTCCTGGGGTTGGCTTTTTACTCCTTAACTTGCATGTGGCCTCCTCTTCGGGAATGACAGGCATTTGCTTTCTTGGCTCTTGGAACGACATTTCCAGCATTCCTTTGTCCATTCTGTCATCAGAAACTGCCCCTGTGCCAGACCCCGTGGCTCAGGTGGCCCCGTTAGGGATGCTTTGCTTTGTTCGGTCCCCCTCTGAAATTTCTTGTGAGGTGTTTTGTTTTGTGTGTGTGTGTTCTGTTTTGTTATTTGTGTTGTTTTTTGTCAGGCATTTTAGGGAATAGATGTGATCTTGGGGTGTACCACTCAGGCCTTCATAGGTCTCTAAGGTCAGTCGGGGCCCTGGCTCTTTGAAATAAATTTATTTCTTTCTTTTTTTAATCTTTACCTGCCAGGATATTTTTCAAAGAGGGAGGGAGGGAGGGAGAGAGAAACATAGATGCGAGAGAGATGCATTGATTGGTTGCTTCCTGCATGACCCTAACCAGGGCCAGGGATCAAACCGCAACGGCAGTACTTGCCCTTAACTGGAATTGAACCTGCAACTCTTTGTTCTGCAGGCTGATGCTCTAACCACTGAGACAAACCGGCCAGAGCAAAGTAAATTTTCTTAATTCATCAGAATTGCTTAGTGAAATACGTCATCTGTGATTTAGCTTTTAAAGCAGTCTTGAGCCCTGGCCGGTTTGGCTCAGCGGTTAGAGCATCAGTCTGCGGTCCGGAGAGACCCAGTTTGGGTTCCTGCTAGGGGCGCGAGCCTCGGTTGCAGTTTGTCCCCGGCCCTGGTTGGTCATGTGGGGGGCAGCCACTCAATGTGTCCTTTTCACGTTGATGTTTCTCTCTCTCTCTCTCTCACTCTCTCTCTCTCTCTCTCTCTTCTTCTCTCTCCCTCTCACTCTATCTGAACAAAAAAATGGAAAGTGTCCTTGGGTAAGGATAAAAAAAAATCAGTCTTGATTTGTCCGGCCAGTGTTGCTCAGTGGTTGAGCATCAACCCATGCACCAAAAGGTTACTGTTTGATCCCCGATCAAGGCACATGCCCAGGTTGTGGGCCCATTCCTCAGTGGGGGGCATTCAGGAGGCGGCCAATCAGTGTTCTCTCTCATCTATATTTCTATCTTTCTCTCCCTCTCCCTTCCTCTCTCTCTACAATCAATAAAGAAAAGAAGCCCTGGCCAGTTTGGCTCAGCGGTTAAAGTGTCGGCCTGCGGTCTGGAGAGACCCAGGTTCGGTTCCCACTAAGGGCACGTACTTCGGTTGCAGTTTGTCCCCGGCCCTGGTTGGTCGTGTGGGTGGCAGCCACTCGATGTGTCCCTTCACGTCGATGTTTCTTTCTCTCTCTCCCTTCCTCTCTCTCCCTCCCACTCTATCTGTACAAAAAATGGAAAAATATCCTCAGGTGAGGATAAAAAAAGAAAGAAAAGAAAAAAATAAATCAGTCTTGATTTTCACATTTCAGATTTACTTACTGCTGGACTCAGGCAGCTGTTGATTGCTATTTCTCATGCCTCCTTTTCATCTGCAGAAAGCCTAGTAGGAAAAAGCCTAATTGCAGAGGCAGAATCTTAGTCCAAGATTTGATGCTCTGACTATTTTATAGGCACTTGTAGCTTAGCTCGGGTATGCAGCACCCTTAAAGGGCCACCCTAGGGAATGACAGTGCTGGCACCACCCTTTCAGCAGCTCCCAAAGGGCACAGAGGTGCTCCCATCACAGATGCCAGTGCTTTCTCCTGGTCAGGGGCCTGTTTGACCTCTGACTTCCCTAAGATAGCACTTATTTGGGCTGTTCAGTAGTTTCCATCTTTGCTCAGCTTCTGTGGTCCTGACCGGCTGTGAAGCAAACCCCCAGTAGCCCTCACCATGCAGAGGGCACTGGGGGCAAGTGGGCTTGATGCGGCTGCTTCTGTTTTTATCCTCACAGGGAGAGGCTCGTTCCGGCCCATCCAGTCCTCCCTCACCAAAGCGGCTCTGTCTAGGCCGATCATGCCCAAGGTTCTTCCGCCCCAGGCCACGGGCCACCTGGCCAGTAAGTTTCTGTGATTGGAATGGTTACAAACACCATGTGAGGGTTGTGAGTGGTGTTTCTTTTTTCTTCTTCCCCAAGCCATGCTGTCTCATTATCTTCCAGAGAGAACAAGAAAGCGATCGCCCTTGCATTGAAATTAGGGAGAGGCTGTTCCTGCGAGCGCTGTGGAGCATGTTTTGGTATATCAGTAGAGCTCGCATAGGAAATGTCTTTTCTGTTGCCAGGTGCTGTCGACTTAGCAGCTACAAGTGCCGGGATCATCCCTGGAAGCCCCCTTCCTGTCTTGGATGCTGAGGGTCTGTCTGGCATCTCTCCACTGCCTTCAGATGAGGCAACAGCTACCCTCTCGAGTCAGGACTCCACTGGCACCCACCAGAATGGAGACCCCATCCCCACTGTGGGGGTGAGTGTTTAGAGGGCTTCTCCAAGTTACCACTAGCTTTCAGGTTGGGTTGGTCATTCTCCAGAGGGATGAGAGCCAAGATAATGGAGCTGATGTTATGCTGGACTCCAATTCTCCCTCAGGAGGGCATGGACCTGACAGACCGGGGGAGAGTCACTGAACCAGGGAGGCTGGGGCATGAGTGAGCACTGCGTAGTTCAGGGGGAGAACCACAGAAGGAGACAGAGAAGGGACAAGATTTGCTGGGTGACCCTGGAGAATTCAAAACTGAGACAAGCACGATCTGTACGTCAGCAGACTTCTCAGATATCAGCTTGATCTGAGAAGGAACTTTAACCAAGTTGGCCAACAGTGGGCCTAGTGACCCCTGACTGGCACTGCTCTTTGATTCCCTCGGCGCTGTGCTTTCTCTGGTTTCATGGCTCAGCCCTGCCTGAGGACTACAAAGTTTTGAATTGACAGTCTTAAATGCAGTGACTTGATGGTCCACCCTCTGGAAGCTGTGAGCGTGCTTGTCCTCACAGAAAGAGATTTCCAACCTAGACTGTGGTGGGCTCCTCTGCTGCTGACTGTTAGGAAGCCGGGGAGTGGAGTGGCTCTTTCCTCAGGAGCTAATAGCCTTTGGGCAGAGTTCTGGCATGTGTGTAGGGGCTCATTGGCATTCATGGTGTTCTTTTCTTGTAGGGTGCAAGTGATCCATTCATCCCCATACCCTCAAGGCCTGAGCAGGAGCCAGTGACAGACAGTTTCCAGGTAGAGTGTGCTACTGGCTGCTGAGCAAAATAGCTGCCCCAGGACCCCCCTCCAGTGCTGATTTCCCATCCTCATGGTTCTTCCAGCAGACCTAACCCCCTGCTGTGGACTGCCAGGATGTGATAAGGACACATGGCCATTGAATGGCGTTGTCCTCCCATCACCTAGCTAGAAGGAACACACATCTCCTATCTCAGGCTTCTTCACTTTTGTAAGCCTGGCTGATTCAGACACAGTTCTGGAAGATCATAGTTTCTTGGGCTAAAGAAAGGAGGTTGGCTGATAGCACTTCTTGGCATTCACCTTCTGCCTGGGTATTACTAGCTGACTTGCCGGTAGGGGAAACAGGTCCAGATGTCCAGGGCACCCTGTCCAAGGCCACCCTGGCCTGGCCTTCCAACTCCACATCCCTAGAGTGGTTTCTGAAGAAGTTAATCCCCCATGTGTTTCTTACTGGAAAGGAAGAAGTGCCTGCTAGGGTTATTACCTCTCTGTTAACTTGCCCATCTCTTGGTTATCACCTTGTAGGTCTGAGGCTGATTTTTTTGTTCCTTATTAGGGATTGGTTGATCGTTGTGTCTGAACAATCCCCATCTTCCACCAGGGTTCACCTGTCCTCTCGTTATCTGAGCTGTCCAAGGCTCCTCACCACAATGGGCTTTCCACACCTCTGCCTTTGGCGGAGGGCTCTAGCACTCGGCTCTCTCCGCCTAACGTCTCTGCTCTACTGGACATCTCCCTGCCTGGCCCGCCTGAGGACGTACTATCGCAGGGAGAACCTGCCACTCAGATCAGCGACTCCATCATTGAGATTGCCATCAGCTCTGGCCAGTACGGTAAGGAACACGCTGTCCCTGCATATCCTTCTTGGAATTAGTTCCCCATTAGGTCAGGGGATCCGGACTTGCCCTTGACCTCCCATGTGAGCATTTGCCAAACCTGCTGGGTATGTTCCCATTCCACTCTCACTTTTGCATGTGAACCACCTGCCACCTACTTGGCCTTGCCCAGAAGAGGTAGGGACACCACAGGTGGATGAGGTGTGGATAGGACCTGCAGCTCTTCATGATCTGGTGGGACTGCTCCAGGCTTTGAGACAACAGAGTTAGATGGGGCGTTGTCCTCGTTGGTCATGAATCTGGGTGGATACTTTTGGGTTTTGCAGGTTCCAGGAGGGGGTCAGACTGGTGTTCTGATAGTGGTATGGCTGGTGCTTGCTGGTATGATTCAGGCCATGGATTCAGATTGAGCTGAGTTCACAGCCTGGCAATGCATGGCGTGGGCAGGTCACCAGCTCATTTATGAACTGGGAATAGTGTGCGTTTCACAGGGCTATTGTAAGCCCCTGTGAGGGGATTTAGGTGAAGCTCTTGGCTCCATCAGTGATAGCTGTGGCCATTGTCATTCCCTGTGATGCGCTTGTGTCCCTGCCGCAGAGGGCCACAGGCCAGTGGTGTTCATCATCTTTGGGGATCCCAGCATGGTCCTGAGTCTCCAGAGTTTAGTGGCACACAGCTGTGTTGACTTGTTGCCTTAGTGGCAGGTTGGGGAAGCAGAGTGCTATTCACTCCATGTGACGTCTCTGACCCAGGATTTTGGTTGACAGGTGAAGGAGTCCCTCTTTCTCCAGCAAAACTAAATGGCAGTGACAGTTCCAAGAGTCTTCCCTCCCCATCCAGCAGCCCCCAGCCAGACTGGATTGCCTCCCCCACCCATGACCCCCAGTGGTGCCCCAGCGACCCCACGGACTCATCCCTCAGCAGCTTGTTTGGTGAGTGTCTGTGGAGGGTGCCCGGGTGTCCGTCCCAAACCAACAGGGGACGAGCAGGGCTCCACATGGTGAACTTGGTGGGGGTACTAGAGTCTGGATTCTCTGTGACATCTGGCAGAACTCCCATTAGGACTGTTTGCTTGTTTTCCAGGGTTCATTTTTCCTGTACCACTTACATATAGGGAATATCCAGATCTCCATTGTGCAGTTCACTGAGCTTTGGCAACATGACACCCTTGTGACCCACAGCCCAGTTGAGACGTGGCCCATGTCCATCTCTCCACACAGTTCCCTGTTCCCTTCTGCAGTCCATTCCCGGCCCCTTCCCTACTAGGGCCTTCTGCTCTCGCTGCCAATGGCAGGATAGAAAGAATGGGCTCTTCGTGCTCTTTGCTTCCCTCTTCTGTTCTCAGTAAAGTGTTTGATGTGGACAGTCCTGCTCTCTTGTGGCATTTTGACCATGGTTTGGCACATTCATGGGATGTGTTCATCCTCACTGGGCACCAGGCGTTCGTGTGATGGGAAGGAGATGTTAGGGAAAGACACACTGGCCTCATTGTCTTATGTAGGAGGGGCTCCTGAGACACATCTGGGATTCGTGCACTTTGAGAGCAGCCAGTACATACACATGGCCATTGGACTGAGCCCCAGAGATGGTTGTGCTGTACACATGTTGAGCAGAGTCAGCACCTTGTGTGGGTGGGTGCCACACCTGATGGCCTAGAATTTGAGCTCTGGTCTGGGTGATGCAGGGAGCCAGCACCCGCTAAGTGTTTCCTGTTATAAGAGTCCCATAGAACCACACAGACCTCTGCAAAGTCAAACACAAATCGTGAAAAACTGGAAACCACTTTACATGGAGGTGGGAGTGGTGACTGGACAGTGGAGCACTGAGGGCCTTTGGAAATATGAGGAGGACTTACACATGCTTCTGAGGCTCCTCCAAAGCTCCCCACTTGGGAAAAGCCAGGTTGTCTATAGCTCCACACTCAGCACTGTGTGCCGGCGTGCAGGTGGATGCCTGCCCAGGCCTGGTGAGGCCACCTCCAGCCCTCAGAACCCTTCCCTTGGCCTAGGGCTGACCAAGTCATCTCAGGGCTTGTCCCTCCTTCTCTTGGCAGCGAGCTTCATCTCCTCAGAGAAGGGCCGGAAGATGCTGCCGACTCCAGTGGGGACCCACAGTGGCACCTCCCTGCTGGGCCCCAGCCTACTAGATGGAAACTCGAGAGACTCATTTGTGTCTCGGTCCCTGGCCGATGTGGCCGAGGTAAGTACACAACCTTATGCCTAAATGTGACCGTCAGCCCCCATTCCAGAGGTGGTCACATCCCTCCAGCAGACCTGTTTCGTAATTAAGAAATTTTCATCAAGTTGTTAAAGCAAGGAGTAGGGATTGGATTCCGCTGTGTCCTCCACCAGCCACTTGACCTCAGGCAATGCTGCCTCTGTGTGGTGCTGATGCCATTGGTAGAGGAGTACAGAGCTGTAGGTGGCTATGTCATTACTGCTGACGTCTGACAGGGGGGACCATCAAGCAGCACCTCCCTGTGTTGTTACTTGTCGCTGTCCCCCAAGTGGGAGAATGGGTTCTGAACAAGAGAGGCTTACAAGGATGTGTACTTATTAAAGGAGTAGAAACAGATACATTTAACCATAAAGCAATATACGAAGTAACAGGTGTTGGAAGAGAATTTGGATAGAGGATAATATGCTTAAAATGAAGAGAGTCCACATCTAGAATGCCACTTGGATGGGCTTGGTCCTGTTGTTCAAGTGCTGGAGCATCCTTTCCCACATCCTGACTCCCTGGACTGCTGAGATGTTAATGGGTGTCTCTCAAGGGCTTCATGGTTAGATTCTGGAAGGAAACCCTGGATCAGACAAGGCTCACACAGTGGTGTCCCATGGCCTCCTCAGTTCTGGGTATCCTGATGTGAGTCTTAAGAGCTGAGGAACTTGTGGGAAGGCTTTGGAGGATTCTAAGCCAACCCCTGACATGAATGGAAATTTCACCCAAATACAAATTAAACAGTAATATAGTAAATTCCCTCCCCCATCAATGAGCATTTCTGTGGCCACAGAACTTTTATTTAGAGAACACCTTGTGACTCTAATGTCCCACAAGAGGCTGGTCTCTTTCCTTTCCCGTCTCTGTGTGGACATTGTTTATAAGCACCTAGCTCCTATGGAGGAGGTGGGCACTGTGCAAACATCCCAAGACAACGTGCCAGGACTGCACTGTTCAAAGGTGGTCTACAGACCCACTGCAAAACACCTTCGACTTGTTAGAAGGTTCGACTCTTGGGCCCACCCCAGGCCCAGCGAACCAGGACCTGCATTTGTTTTTTTTTGTTTGTTTTTTTTAATCCTCACCCAAGGACATTTTTCCACTTTTTATTCAGATAGAGCGGAAGGGAGAGAGAGGAAGAGAGAGAGAAACATCGATGTGAAAGGGACACATCGAGTAGCTGCCACCTGCACGACCAGCCAGGACCGGGGACAAATTGCAACCAAGGTATGTGCCTTTAGCGGGAACCGGACCCAGGTTTCTCTGGACCACAGGCCGACGCTCTAACCGCTGAGCCAAACCGGCCAGGGCAGGACCTGCATTTCTAACAAGATCTCTGCGTGCCCTGTTGCACACAGAGGTGAGCAGCACAGAACAAAGACAAGTGCTATTTATAAACTAAATCCATGACTAGTAGCACATACTTACCTGCAGAAATAGCAGTTGTTTTTTCAAAAGGATCTGACCAAGGTCCTGGCTTGTTTGGCTCAGCAGTTAAGAGTGTCAGGCCGCGGACCAAGGGTCGTGGGTTCGATTCCAACCAAAGGCATGTACATGGGTTGCAGGTTTGATCCCTGGCCCCAGTCAGGGTCGTGTGGGAGGCAGCCAATCGATGTCTCTCTCTCACATCAATGTTTCTGTCCTCTCACTCCCTCAAAAACATGAGTGTGGTTTAAGGTAGTCTTTGTCATGTAGACGTGCAGTCTGAAACGTGGGGCTGAAATGATCTGATGGTGGGATTCAAACAAAAGTGATGGGAGCAATGAGTGGGTGGGAGAGGTGGGCCACAGATTGATGAAGCTGGTGATGGATATGTGGGGGAAAGATAGTCGCTATTTGCTCTACTTTTTGAAAACAAATTTCAGTTTGTTTTATATTTCTCATAATAAGAGGTTTAAAATTCAGTTCAGGCCATGGCTTTACTCAGAATTTTCCAAGGCTGCTTATTTCATTATATCATGTAGTTCATTAATGATGTTCTAGGCACTAAGTGAACAAAACAGAGGCCCTGTCCTAATGAGGCTTTCACTCCAGCAATTAGGCACACAATAAACCTTGAGGACTGTATGGGAGAATGTTCCATGTATTTGTCCACAGAATAAAATCCCAGTACCTAAGGCCCTACTGTACACACTTGAGTCTCTCTACTCATATTCAACTGTTGTCCTTACTCACCGTCACATCCACCAGCTTTCTTGTTTCTAGAAGAGCTGAAGCCTGTTCCTACCCCAGGGCCTTTGCACTTGCTGTTTCTTCTGATGTGAATGTGTTCCCCACCCCCATGGCACACTCCCGTTTCTCCACTTATATCTCCTGTAGGCCACCCCACACTCTCTGCGTTACACTGTGTGCCATTTGCCTGTTTGCTTGACTGTTTTTCCCTGACAAGTCCCCTGTACCACTCTGATCCCGATAACCAGATGTGCCAGTCTCATAGTAGGCTCTCCTACCTACTTGTCAAAAGGGTGAGAATTCAAAATGATGGATGATTATGAGATTCTTCCCAGAGTGCTGGGCCACCATTACACAGCAGGTCAATGGGAAATGCCCGTTTTCAATGTAGAGACCCCAGGTTCATTCGCCTTCTGCTGTAAGTCCCATTGGTGACCAGTTTCCTCCAGTCTAGATGGCAGGCCACTACTAGCTGATGTAGTCTTGCCTTATGTCCTCTGCCCACAGGTCGTGGATTCCCAGCTGGTGTGCATGATGAATGAAAACAGCGTTGATTATATATCTCGGTTCAACGACTTGGCCCAGGAGCTATCCATCACTGAGCCCAGCCGCCGAGAAGTTCTGTTTGATAGCAGTGGAGGTGGCCCCCCCGTCAGTGACCTATCCCAGTGAACGTACAACGTACCTTGTGGTGGGGGCATCCTGGAGGCTTCAGAGGAGGGCTTACGGGGCTAGTGGTCCAGTCCGCAACTGTGGTAGGTGTAGCCCTCTTCAGACTAGAGAAAACACAAATCAAGCCCAGAACCTCCAGAAGATGGTCAGAATAGAGACACCGCTGCACCCGAGTACACAATATGCTGGAAGCCGTATCCCAACAGGCAGAGGGCAGTAGTGGCCCAGGAGATGAGGACCAGTTCTGGAAGGGTCAGTGTCAGAAATCACTGTGGTCTTTGAAGCAGTTCTTCACCAGTCGTGGGATCTCATATTTGAGTCTGTGTAAGGACCACATTTCCACCTGTGCTCCTGCCTTGGTTGTTGTATTGGACAGTCCAGTGAGTTTTCTTTCTGAAAGAAAGGAGTGGGTGTGTGCCCTGGCATACACATTGCATCCTGGGGGATTGTAATCTCCTTGCTCTCTGCAGGGAAACCACACTTTGGTTGCTTCTCTGCAGAGTGATGATGGGGGGGTGAGGGAAGTGCAAGGGATAGCTGGGCCTGGCCTGGGCTTTGCCTAGTGGTATCTGTACCCTGAGACAGCAGACAGTTCATGGGACACTGATCACAAGGCAGCTGAAGGGTCCTAGGACATCACCCCAGAAATATTGAACCTTCCCTAGTGCTTCCCTATCCAGATGTGTTTTCTGAAAAGAAAGGGGAAAGAATCATGTCTTCTGCAGGTTGTATGAACTTTTAGAAAATATCCTGCTCAGCTGATAAGAGAATGTTTTTCTTGTGTTTTAAGAATTAGACAATGAGGAGGTAAAACAGTTGGTTTCCTTCCTGCATCCATCTACAAGTTTCTTCTAGGTGACCTACAATGTTACTTCTCTCTATTGGGATATCCCTAAGCACTTGTTTGACTACAGTTAAGACTTTCCTGATGAGTCTTTGACCTTCTTATGTGTCCCTATTTAGCATATGAGACAAATGGACTTTGCAGGGATATTTCTCTTCTTCAGTCTCCTCTTTTGTTGGCCTAAGAGCAGAGCACACTGGGATTTGTAGGTTTAATCCCTTGTATCTGCTTTTGCCCAGTGGTCTCTTCTTTCGCTCCTTCCTGTTCAGGGAATGCAGACAAGGGTCAGATGTCCTGGTGCAGTTAGAGCACTAACTACATCACTGTGTTGTGCTCCATAAGCCTCCTTGAGTGACCACTTGTCACCACTGCAAGTGGTCCAGCATCCTCTTCTTCCCCAGAACGAAGCTAACAAGGCTTCTGTGCCTGCTCAGCCTTGGAAGACTCAACACATGATTTACCATTTAGTCACATTAGATGTGGCTAGGAGCCAATGCTCATGTGCTGGGCTGGTAGTAGCTGCGCCACCATCCCACCTGTTTCACCCTCCCTCGTCAGCCAGGATCATCCACCTGAACTGACTTGTCTCTGTTGCTCACCTTTCCTCTTCCCCTGACTGGCAGCAGAGGAGCAGCCCTTGAGGCCAGTCCCGGCCCTCTACATAGGCTTCTCTACAATGAGAGGTAAGCCCATGTGAAGAGGAGAGAAAAGGTCTTTTGTGTGTGCAAGAAGAGTGGACTCTCTTGATCCCATCGTCTCACCAGCTGTTTGCAGCCACTTTAGGCTGCAGACAGGGTCTTTCGCTCTGAGCCATGGAGGAAACAGGACAGTTGGCTTCTAGGCAATAGCTTCTTTCCTTCATCTCAGTTGTTTCTCAGAGCTTTTGTCTCTAATGTGGCTTTCTCTTTTCAGATCTGGTTTCTGGGCAAGCATCACTTTAAAAAAAAGCCATCTAGAGTCTTAGGAAGTCCCAAAGCTCTGGAGATATGAAAGAAAGGGACATGGTATCACTTTATTAAGAGATACAGACAACATTGTTTGAACCAGAGCATTTTTTAATTACTTGAGATTTGTGATCAGTAATATCAGCTTCCTGAAATTAGTACCTTATTGAGCCGAACAAGATTACCCTGCCCCACTCTGCACCTGACTTTGTTAGGTCTGCAGTAGGTTGAGAGACCAGGCGAAGTTTAGGCCATGACTAGGTTCCTCACACTCCTGCCAGAGATGATAGGGCCTCTGAGCTGCTTGTTCATCAGGGGACACCCCGAGGCAATCTAGTTGGTAGGTTGGCACCTGTTACCCAGTGACATCTAAAAAGAGAAAAACTGGAGATTTGGATCAGTTTTTGTAGGCTATTTAGCAGCACCTCCTACCTGGGTCTCTGGCATAGATTCCACTTGAGGGTAGCTGACTGACCAGTGTCATTCAGTGGGGAAGTGGGCTAGGGAAGGGGTAGATTGACTCTTCTCACCTGTAATAAAGCTCACAGGATTCCAGAGAATTATGCTGCTTCTCTACCAACCAGATGCTTTTAGGAACTGTTAAAGGCTGGAATTTTCAAAAGACCCAAGCCTCCTTCCTCTTGCATCTTCCTCTGCCTTTCCAATGGAAGTCGTAATAGTCTCAGTATGCTCCTGTGGATTCCTTGTGCATTTGAGCCTGTTAATTAGGAACAGATCAGTGTCTCAGAGGCACATTTCCATGGTCACTCTAATGTTGTCTGGCATCTTTTTGCTGATTCCTCTTTTGTAAAGAGTGAGACTGTTTCTGGTCTCAGGGGAGTTGGTGTTGTCGCCTTGATTCTTATTGTGACTATCCAGTGATGAGCATTCCCTTCTTTAGAAAATGCAGAGGCAGATCAAAGTTTATGATTTCACATGCGGTTTGTGATGACATCTTTTTATTTCTCTGTATCTTCTAGGTGTAGAGCACTTGCTCTGGGAGTGGGGGTAATTGATAACATTTTATCAGTTGATCTACTTGCTTTCCTCTACATCTCTGGGTTCTCAGCCTCAAAGTCCCATTCTTTTTCATTCTGTGTCACTCCTGATGGATCTCCTTTTCAGTGTAATAGCATTTTTACCTAGATTATACCATCAAATCCAAACCTGTGCAGAGAAAAGTTATGGATAAAAACACTGGAAATGAGTGGATGAGGAGAACACCAGCTGCTGTGGGTTTTTGTTTGTTTTTGTTTGTTTTTTAAGACTTTGAGACTTATCAGAAGTGTTTGGAAGGAAATAGGGCACTTTGTCTTAAGGCGGGGAAAAAAAGAAAGAAATCACAGCTGACTATCAAAGCTCTCCTAATCCCACAGTAATTTGTAAGTCACATTGAGTAAGTTCAGTCTTGGAAGCACTACAGCAACCTGTACCCTTCATTCTGTAACAGGATAACTGGCTCCAGAGCTTCTGGTCTGGGCAGCAGAATTTACTGCTGTTTCTTTTAATAATTGTTAAGCCATATCATCTAAGGTTTTCGGCTTGTTTGAGATGTGAATTTGTTTAATAGATAATAAATATACATATACAGTGTATGTATAAAGCAGAATGCCTGTCCTTCCTGATTACTTTTTGTACCATATTGTAAATTACATTATTTATTATTTACCAATTTGGGGAATAAAGGTGTTTTGGTTATTTAATATAATAAACAAAAGCTGTTAAACTACTTATGTTTAAATTTCCAGTTTAACTTGTAAATCTGTTTTTATTGTGCATAAATACATACTAATACTTGATCTAATAATTACTGTTTCTGCCTTTTTTTAAGTGTGCACTTACTTTTTAAAAATGTTTTTACTGATTTTTTGAGAGAGAGAGGTAGAAACAATGATGTGGAAGAGAAATATCAATCAGCCGCCTCCTGCATGTCCCCCACTGGGGTTGGAGCCTGCATCCAGGGCATCTGCCCCGACCAAGAATCCGACCGGGACCTCTCAGTCCATGAGAAGTCTCTTGGGCGTTGTCCTGTGCAGGAGCAGGGCACATGCCTGGGCTGCAGGTTCGAACCCCCTTCGGGGCACCTAAGGAAGGCAAAAGATCAATATTTCTCATGTTGATGTTTCTTCTCCCATCCCCCATCCCCACCCCGCCTTCTCTCTAAGCATGTCCTCCGGTGAGGATTAAAAAAAAAGAAACATAAAAACGTTTGGTGATCTCAGAAGACTTAAATGGGCTGTCTGCAGTGTAATTGACCAACAAAACACTGCCGACTGTGTTTTTGTTTTTAATCACAAATAGGGAACTGGGACCCTTCACCCCTTGCTCCCTACTTATGAGTATATCTTTCTGAGGGGCCCTTCTACCCCCCCTAGGAGTGGACAGGACAGGAACTACTGAATCCCTGAACACACAATTCAGATTGGCGTCCTTTCGCCAACTACCGCATCTGTCGTTGACTAGTTTGCAAAACCCACGGTCTCCTGACAGACACATCCACTGTTCCTTCAGAATACGCAGCGGGTCAGTGCCCTTGGGGCAGCGGTTGCAGCCTAAGAAAACCGTAGACTTTGTCCAGTTCCTGCCCACCCCAGCGTGTCAGACACGCCCCAGGCTTGTGGGTCGGTTCGCTCCCGCCCAGGAAAAGATTCAGAGAGGGGGGGCCTGAGACCATCCACTAGACGCAAGGACCTACGTCCTGGCCCCGCCCACCTCGGGGGCAGCCCGCCTTCTGCCGGCCTGCTGCCCAATGCCGACGCCTTACGCTGTCAGCGCCTTCTCTCACCAATTGGCTGCGAGCGTGACCCTCTACACGCCTTCGTGTCTCGGAGAGGGGGTGGTGCCCGGCTCTGCGATAGAGTGCGGCGGCATGACTGGCGTTGGCATTGTCCAATAGGCGCGGGCGGGCGAGCCCCTAGTTGCGCGGAGCCGGGCGGGAACCGCGGCGCGGCAGGCGACGAGGCACTGGGCGTCGGGCGACATGTTCCATGTTCCGGATAGCGAGGGCGGCCGAACCAGCTCCAGGTGCAGTGCGCGAGTTTGCGAGGGTGCGGGTGCGGGCACACGGCTGCTGGAGGGGAGGCCGGCGGGTGACCTTACAAAACCGCGGCCTACGCTTCCGCGTCGGAGGGATGGGCGCACACGCGGATGTGCTCCCGCGCCCGCCAGCGTCTCAGCTGAGGGCCGGAGGTGCGCCTTTCCGCACTTTTTGTCTATAGCGCACCAGAAAGACACCGGCAGAGTGGTCTGTTGCTTCGGAACGGGCAGTTCCGGGAGCCCGGAAAAGGCGGATGTGTGTGGGGCTGCGGGGGCACCGTCTTGGAGCCTGTGCTGGCGCCCGGTGCGCTGGTGGACGGGCCTCGGGGGACGGTTGCCATCCTGAAGCCCTCTCTAATCCCGCAGCCCTGTGGAATTTACCCCTAAGTCCGCAGCCGGGGAACCAGGTCGAGCCCTCCTCTAATCCCGAAGCCTTGAAGCCAGGCTGCACCCTCCGCTAATACCGCACCCCCGCGTAGCCAGGTGGAGCTCTCTCCTAGTCCTGAAGCGGTGCCTTCTGATCCCACAACTCCGGGAGGTGGGTGGTGCCCTTCCCTAACCCCGCAGCCCAGGCGGTAAGACAGCGCTGCCCTCCCTGCTTTGCTGATGAACCAGGCCGGACGACAAATAACAGAAACAGAGACCCCGTTACTGGTCTGGGCTGGTTGTCCACCGTAGCACGCTTTTCTTTAAAGGTTTTTTTAAACTTTTTTTTTTTTGAGACAGGAAGGGGGGCGGGGAGAGACACTGTGATGTGAGAGTGGAACATGGATCAGCTGACTCCCACGGGCCCCCTCCGGGGTGAAGTCCCCAACCTGGGAATGTGCCCTGACCAGTAGTCAAACCGCAGCCTTTCAGTGCAGAGGACCTTGCCCAACTAAGCCACACTGGCCGGGGCAGCTTTCTTTTTAACTTGAAAGTGCTCTGTGTGTTGGAAGTCCGATAAGTTAGAATTGCCCGAGCTGGCGAGGTCTGTCCTGCCACTGGGGAGTTTTCTTTATTGTGAGCTCTTCAGTGACCCAGCCTCCCAAACAGAATAGAAGAGAAGATGTGTTTGAGGGTTGAGGTAAATACTATGTAGATTAGATACTAAATAAAAATGGTTTCAGCTTGCTAAAAAACCTGTACTTTTGGGTGAGTTAGGTTAGTATTCAGTGCCACACCTAATGGAACAATGACTACCAACTACCCACTTGCATTTAAATCTATACTGATAGGGGCCAGAAATTTCCCCTGGAGTGCTCAGGATGAATCAAGTTTCTGGTGCCTGGTAACTGCTGTCTGCACCATTCACACCAGCTTCTTCCCAGCACTTTCTCAGTTGTATTCAGTACACTCCTTCTTTGCTTACCTGTGTACCTGACACTGGATGCCCAGGAAATGTTGGTAAATGAATAAACGCCATGAGTAACACTGATATTATGCTGACTTCAAGCTACAGACATTAGCTGTGCTCCACACTTCTTTGGGAGATTTGTTTTTGGAGAGGATATTAAAAAAGAGAGTCTTACTTCCAGGATGTTGAAGAAGGAAAAGCAGTCTTTTTAATTGGAAGCTTTGCATTTGACCACCTTTTTTTTAAGTTAGATGAAGAGAGAGAGAAAGAAACATTGATCAGTTGCCTCCTATATACACCCTGCCTGGGGGTTGAACCTGCAACTTGGGTATGTGCCCTGACCAGGAATCGAACTGGAAACTTTTCGTTGCACGAAATGGCACTCAACCAACTGAGCCATACCAGCCAGGGTTGACCACCTTCTTAAAGCACTTGATTAGCTAGACAGGCGTTGTAGGGTTTACACTGTAATTGGCTGTGCAGGGAGGGAACCAAGTGATGGTTATAGGATCACTATCCATATTTTCTTCTCTTAAACTCATATTACCTTTTTCTTGATGGGGGATTATTTTGTATTAAAGAGATTTTGGACTCAAAGCATTTTGCTTAGCCATCATTAATCTAAGATCTTTCCTTTAAGCTGTAAAGTGAATATTTGTAAACAATTAAATCCAAGTCTGTTTCACTGCTTCTTTCCAAACCTGACCAATCCCCAAAAGCTTTTCTGACACAGGGACAAGATCTTGGAGGGTCAGGAGCATGGAGACCCCCCCCACCAAGTCTTGTTTTCTCCTTGAGCTATGTGTCTCTCTTGTCACATCCCCCTTAGTTCCTCTTTTGTATTTTGAATATCTTTGTTGAAGTGTATTGAAGGGCTACTACAAAATGAAGAAATAACTGGGAAGCAGCCACACAATGTGGTTTTATCCCCAAAATGTCTGCACTCACTAGTATTCCCACCCCCTCCCCCAAACTAGTGTCATAGTGATAACTACTGATAACGAGACTAGTGGAGCCACATCGAACCATTGTTGTGGGTTCTGTTTTTATTGAAATGTCTATTTAACTCTTAGTCTCATTTATTTGAGACCCTGTGCAATTTTGTATGACTGTGAACCCTGCATGCAGACCCCATTGCCTTTGTGATGGAGACAGTTGTTGCCTCTTCTCAGGGAGCTTGGCAGTTATGCACAGGAATCTCTGCTGCAGCATTCTTCACACCACTACCCTTTTCTTCCTTTGTTTTCAAAGGAAAATAAATTCACAAAAGGACAGAATAATAGAATAAACACGATATTTCTACCACCTCAAGTTAACATTTCATCATTTCAAATAGCTATGGTTTTTGTCCTGTGCCCCGAAGGTGCTCTTTGCTCACACAGATCGCAGTTTGGGCCTCTCCTCCAAGGATGTCTTTGGAGTTCCAGGAGCATTCAGTGCTTCTGTCACATCACTCCCGGAACACTGAAACCACCTATGCACAGCTCTAGTTTTCCCAGTAAACCTGAAGCTTCTCTGGGTCAAGGACTTGCTCTCATTCATCTTCCTATCCTCTGGGTCTTGAACAGGCTTGCCAGTGATAGGTGCTCAGTGAACATGAGTTGAACTGAATGAAGCAAGGATGAGAGGCTCAGGAGACTTGGGAGATCCAAGAAAGTAGAATGTGAGAGTCAGGGAAGCATCCTGAGAAATTTGAATCAAGATGAGTCTACCCTGCCCTGGCCAGTTTGGCTCAGCCGTTAGAGCGTCCGCCTGCGGTCCAGAGAGACCCGCGTTTGGTTCCCGCTAAGGGCACGTACTTCGGTTGCAGTTTGTCCCCGGCCCTGGTTGGTCGTGCGGGTGGCAGCCACTCGATGTGTCCCTTTCACGTCGATGTTTCTCTCTCTCTCTCTTCCTCTCTCTCTCCCTCCCACTCTATCTGTACAAAAAGATGGAAAAATGTCCTCGGGTGAGGATTAAAAAAAAAAAAAAAAAGATGAGTCTACCCTGAATCTATCTGACAATTTGTGGGACCTTTAAGGTTTAAAAGAAGACCCATGTTTTGAATAAGTTAGTAAAGTGGGAATTTTAACTCATGCCAGCATGAGACCTGGTGTTAAATTTAGTTGAGTTCTGAAGATTGCAGGTCTCTATTACCTTTTTCAAAGAGATGGCTGTGGAGACGCAAGCATGTTGGACCTTCTGTAACTAGCCAAGAAAAATATCATTGTGACCAGTACTTTGTGACATAAATACACACAGGAGTCAGATGGCCTCACTGTGTCCACCAACAAAGTGCATGATCTAAAGTCCTATTAAGCCCTTTAAGTCTAGTTAATTGGTTAGTTTCAAAATTTTTTTTCCCCTTAAACTGAAGTGATTTTTTTTCCTTCGTTAAATCCTTAAGGAAATGCTAACTGCAGCACAGGCACCCACCTTCACCATCCTCTTGAACAGACGTGGACTTTGGGCACCACTTGGAAGGCCTGCCAATTACCCACTTGGCTTCTGTGGTGTTGAGTCGCCGGCCTGCTGGTACCTCTCCAGGCTGGGGCTGGCATGTTGGCTGCCCTCTGTAAAGCAGATGCGTGCTTTCTGAGGTCCCGCTTTACAGCCATAGAATCTGAGAACTCTGTTCACTTTAAATGACAATGAATGATCAGCTCCCATTTTAGCTCTTTTGAGGAAACACTTTAAATATCCTCTTATTTTTGTAAACTAAATCTTTGACAGTGTTTGTATAGCTTTCCAGTGAGACCTAAGCTCAAATCAGAACTTTCTTGTGGTGTCAAGCTCTATAATTTCATCTGTTTCTAAATGTCACTGTTGCTTAGGACTAGTAAAAGAGGCTGGACCACTCACCAGTTTAAAACTCAATTTCAGTAGGCCTCTGTCTCTTTTAAATGCATTTATTTTATTAATCCTCACCCAAGGATATTTTTCCATTGTTTTTTTGTTTTTGTTTGTTTTAGAGAGAGTAGGAGCGGGGAAGGAGGGAAAGAGAGAAACGTCAATGTGAGAGAGGCGCATCATTTGGTTGCCTCCCGCATGACCCTGACTGGGGCCAGGGATAGAACCTGCAGTATGTGTGTTTGACTGGAATTGAACCCTTGATACCCTTTGGTCCACAGACCAACATTCTAACTGCTGAGCCAAACCATCCAGAGCTTAAGATGCATTTTAAAAAACCTTTCTAGGTGTTCCAAAAAGATGCTATGAATTCAGCATGTTGCTGCTTTGTGAAAATTTAATTCTTCAGTTACTGAGATATCGACTTATGGTCCTGATCTTCCTCTTTTGAAATGTCCACTTTAAAACCTCCAAGTTGTACTCAGCCGGTGTGGCTCAGTGATTGAGCATCAGCTTATGCACCAAGAGGTCACCAGTTTGATTCCTGGTCAGGGCACATGCCCAGGTTGTGGGCCTGATCCCTAGTGGGGGGCGTGCAGGAGGTGGCCAGTCGATGTTCTCTCTCATCGATGTTTCTATCTCTCTCTCCCTCTCCCTCCCTCTCTCTCTGAAGTCAATATATTTAAAAACAAAAATAGCCCTGGTCAGTTTGGTTCAACAGTTAGAGCATTGGCCCGCAGACCAGAGACTCCTGGGTTCAGTTCCCGCTAAGGGCACGTACCTCAGTTGCAGTTTGTCCCCGGGCCCTGGTTGGGGTTGTGTGGGTAGCAACCAGTCGATGTGTCTCTCTCACATCTATGTTTTTCTCTCTCTCTCTCTCTTTTCCTCCTTCTCTCCCTCCTGCTCTGTCTGAAGATAAATGCAAAAATATCCTCGGATGAGGATAAAATTTTTTTTAATAAAAGTAAAATTAAACTTCCAGATTGCGCATGACTGTTTCCCAAAGATGGAGACTTCAGCGTAGATACAGCTGTTATTGAGTGAGCAATAGGAATGCCACTCACTATTCTTTGTAGGTGTTTAATTAAAATCAACCTCCAAGTGTGCTCTTCCTCTCAGGAGTATGCCCCTGCCTTTTTTTTCCACTTAGGTGTGCATCTCCTAAACTCTAAGGGTCCCCACAAGACTTGTAACCAGGGGAGCAATGGGCAGCAATAGCTTGTCTCAAGCTAACCCCCTGAACCTTTCTCCAAGGCCCCCTTTCCAGTGAGCCAAAGTGGCCCCACCTGGGCTCTCCTGTTGCTTCTTTCTAAGCCTGCCCTTGCTTCACTGTCCTCAGCTTTAATAAACATACTCTCAAAAAGAAAGTCCTCCCGGTGTGGCCCAGTGGATTGAACCCTTTCCCATGGACTGAGGTCCCAGTTCAATTCCTGGTCAGGGCACATACCTGGGTTTTGGGCTTGATCTCCAGTGGGAGGCATGCAGGAGTCAGCCGATTGATGTTTCTCACTCATTTCTATGTTTCTGTCTCTCTCCCTTCCTATCAAAAAAAAAAAATCAATAAAAACTTTAAAAAACCCTCATAGAAGGTCAGTGTGTTGAGAGATGAAACTTGGTGCATGTGCATTGATCTGAAATAAACAGTGGTGCTGGCAGGTGTGTTCTCTGATTTCTGATGTTCAACATTTTACTGGTTATACTAGACTTTAGTACCGGAGATGATTATCCTGGTGTAGATTCTCAGGACTCACCTGGATTAATGTTGGTAGCACTCCCCATGGTCTAAGCTAACTCTTCTCAATAGAAATGTGAGCCACATGAGGAGTTTTAAATTTTCTTAATTTACATTAAAGAAAGTAAAATGAATCAGGAAAATCAATTTTAATAGATGTAATTCAACTAATATGTAGAAAACACTATTTCAACGTGTGATCTATATAAAAGACAAGATTAAACAGATATTTTGCCTTTTCCTCTTCAAAATCTGATGTGTACTCTATACTTACAGCACATCTGCGTCCTTACTTTCACATCCAAGTGCTTATTAGCCACAGTGGCCAGTGGCTGCCCATCTGAAGACCCAGCTTTGGGTCAGGCTTGATCTTTGGTTAAATGGAGAGCTTCCTCATTTCTTGGAGGCCTTTAAGAGGCATTAGGGTATAGTTGGAGTTCCAGATCCAGACTGCTTGGGCCTAGATCCTGACTCTGCTACTCCTTGTGTGGGCTGTCTCGTGATTTCTCTTTTTATCAGATTCAGGGTCTGTGAAAATAATTTCTGCATTAGAGGGCTGTGTGTAGATCTTTGGAACAGTAGCTGGCTTATGGTAAGCACTTAGCAAATATAAGCCACAGTATTAAACGCCACTGAATTTGTTTATAGTATTAAACACTATTGTATACTAATTATAATTTGTATTAAATTCTACTGTATGTGGCTCAATTTGCCTGTTTTTGGGAAACTTCAGTTTACTTATAAGAGATCTCAGGAATAATTTCAAAATATACATGTTTCAAGAGGGTTTTGGGCATAACCAAGACATACAAAGAAAACTTTTTTTTCCCTTTATTGATTTAAGAGAGAGAGGAAGGGAAAGCAAGAGACAGAAACATTGATGAGAGAGAACATCGATTGGTTGCCTCCTGCTTGCCCCCCACTGGAGATTTGGCCCACAACCTGGGCATTTGCCCTGACCAGGAATCGAACTGGCGATCTCTTGGTGCATGAGTCGACGCTCAACCACTGAGCCACACTTGCCAGGCATACAAAGAAAACTTTTAAGGAAATCTTAGGGCAGTAAAGGAAGTTTGCAATCTGGCTGTCTGTAAACTAGCCATGTCAGTATGGAATAGTTGTGGGGTATGATTTTTCCATAGGCGTTAAGAAAATACATGTACCCTGTCTAGATATGGACATTGAGGTCCAGGTCATTGTCCATCACTTACGCTTGCTCTGTGCTTACAGGGCTGCGAAGCCCCCGGGAGGAGCATCAAGTGATCTTTTCGGAAGTCCAGAAGAAGTTGTTCCTTCTAGCCGACCCAACAGGATGGCATCAAATATTTTTGGACCAACTGAAGAAACTCAGAACATGCCTAAGAGGACCAACCCTCCAGGTATGGGCCTTTGTGACTCATTTGTCCTTTGGCCTCTACCTGTTATTTAGCTGCTCTTTTGATAAAATATTCTTTTTCTTATTGTGGCCAGTGTTGCACAGTGGTTAGAGCATCAACCCGCGACCCTTCGATTCTAAGTCAAGGGCATGTACCCGGGTTGCAGGTTTGATCTCTGCCTTCGGTTGGGGTGTGTGCAGGAGGTAACCAATTGATGTGTCTCTCTAACATCAATGTTTTCTTCCTTCCTTCTCCCTCCCTCCCTCTAACTCTAAAAATCAATGCAAAAAAATATCCTTGTGTGAATATTAACAAAAAAATTTTTTTTTCTTTATATTGATCCTTTCGTATATTTTCTGGTATAGGATATCCCTGTCATGCATCAGAGTTCTAGAAAGTGAGAAAGATTTTTTCCTGTCTTTTACTTGAAGGTAGCTCGGTCATTCTTGAATTCTGCCTCTCTAGCAACAGATATCGACTGGGTGTAGGCACTGAGGATGCAAAGGCTGATGGTGGGATTCTGGCTCCTGCCAGCAGGGAGACTTGAGAGGGAGGGAGAGAGAAACATCATGGTGGATCGAACCTTCAACCTTTTGGTGCCCAGGAAAATTAGCACTCCAACCAACTGAGCCACCTGGCAAGGACAGGAAGAAAGGGTATTTTTATTTTATTTTATTTTTTTTATTTTTATTTTTTTTTATCCTCACCCGAGGATATTTTTCCATTTTTTTGTACAGATAGAGTGGGAGGGAGAGAGAGGAAGGGAGAGAGAGAGAGAAACATCGACGTGAAGGGACACATCGAGTGGCTGCCACCCGCGCGACCAACCAGGGCCGGGGACAAACTGCAACCGAAGTACGTGCCCTTAGCGGGAACCGAACCCTGGTCTCTCCGGACCGCAGGCCGACGCTCTAACCGCTGAGCCAAACTGGCCAGGGCTTATTTTATTTTTTTAAGCTTTTTTTTTTTTGTGGTACATGCCCCTAGCGGGAACCGAACCCAGAACTCTCTGGTCCGCAGGCCGACGCTCAACCACTGAGCCAAACTGGCCAGGGCTATTTTATTTTATTTATTAATTTTATTCATTTTTTTGTTAATCCTCACTGAGGATATTTTTCCATCAATTTTTAAATAGAGTAGGGTGGGGGGAGAAACATTGATGTAAGAGAGACATATCAATTGTTGCCTCCCACATGACCCTGACCAGGGCCAGGGACTGAACCTGCAACCCAGATATGTGCCCTTGACCAGGAATCAAACCCAAGACCTTTCAGGTTGACGCTCTGACCACTGAGCAAAACCAGGCAGGGCAGGAATGGTATTTTTCATCAGCTTTTTGGTGGGATTGAAGCTCTAAAAAAGGATAACTTGGTCTAGTACACGTCTATATAGTTCTTACCCTACATTCTGGTGGTTACAGTGGGAGAGCTTCTTAGAACAGTTTTCCTTGGCTGATAGACTGTCTGGTTGAGTGACCACACATTGGTAGTTACCTGAGGAGCTGTCCTCTGTCTATATCCATGAGGAAAAATGAGGTTCATTCAATCCTTAAAGATTGGAGAGGCCAGACACAGGAATCAGTATTTCAGACAAATAATAAAATCAAGCAGAACCAGAATTAGAGCTGCTTGCTACTCTACTTCAGTTCTGGATATATATGCACATGCGCGTGTGTGTTGTGGTGGGGGTGTTTTTGACAGCTATATGTACTACTTGACCAAACCCAGAGAAACAAAAGCAGTAGATTCAAAAGCTAAAAGCTATTGTTTTGTTTGATTGGTCGGGGAGAAGGAGATTGGTGTAGATATAGTTATAGTAGAGAAGCAGGTAGTTTTACTAAGTGAGTAGTGTTCTCACTGTATCCAGTTTATGGGTGTAAGGCCAGGAGTGGTTACCCTGGACATCCTTTGTACCAACAATAGCATAACAATGGGTCACGTGGCAGATCGAATCAAATCTGAGGCACCTGAAGGTGGACAAGCCAGTTTCCTTGGCCTTGACTCAGCAGAGTGCATATCTGGAGCTGTCCATGGGGTGTCAGGTTCTCTGGAAAGTGTGGCAATGTGGGGATAGTGCTACTCAGAATCTGGGAGCTGGTAGCATCTATATGATTGGTGATAGTTATATGGGTGTTTGCTTTGTCTTTGTTATAGTTGTGTCTTACAAACTTTTCTGTTATGATCCCCCAGCTCTCATGTCCAGTGGGCACCCAGGGCCCCTCTTGACTGGAGAGTGAGAAAGCCTCTGTTGTCTGTGGTTACAATGTGTATCAGCAACCAGCATGATTCCCTTTGCGGGGTTCCTGCTTCTTGTGGTCCTGTTGTTTGGGGTTTGTTTTCTGTCCTGCCAAGTGCTCTTTAAAACTATCTGTGATGAATTCTCAAGGGAAGCTGGAAACAGAAAACTGCTAGTTGTTTCCACACCCCCAGACCTAAACTCCTGCCCTCATTTCTTGTTTAGTCTTGCAGACTTAGCCAGCACAACCCTTCAGTGAGAGGCCCTGATTGAGAAAAGTGTGCAGGGCAGATTGTTGTGACTCAGTATATAAGTCACTGAAAATTTACCAAGGATTGTCATATCCAGTGTTTCATTTACTCCTCATTTGTGTGTTTTGCTGATCACCTGGTTTATATCTTCCACAAATTGTTTTTCCTGATAGTCTAACAATACTTGATATATGTGAATTTAATATCTGCCAGGGAATATGCTAAATACTCTACGTGTATTTATTTGGTTCTCTTTGCAACCCTAGGAGGTAGATGGTGTTACCCCCTTTATAGAGGAGAAAACTGAGGCTCAGGAAGGTTCACTGGCGTATTAAGCACTACAGCTCATTGGTAGCAGAACTAGCCTTTGCATATGGGTTTTCCTGGCTCTAGAGCTCCAAACTTACCTCCTGTGGAATTGTTGGATGATTTAAAATACTGATAGATACTTCCAACTAGTCTTCTATGGGTGGCCAGTACTCAACATGACATGTACGTTCAAAAACAACTGTATTGTTTTGGGTTGGACATATACACAGTAAAACTATGAAAGAAATAATGAGTTTGTGGTTTCTAGAAAATTCAGGCATGTGATGATGTGGAGTGATGGGGAAGGGATACGCAGGTTTCTGGGAGCTGGGAGCGTCTGTACAATCTGGTGGTATGTACATGGATGTTTGCTTTGTCTTTATTTGTGATAGTTGTGTTTTATGAACTTTTCTGTTATGTTTCACAATTTAAAAAATGTTTTTAAATGAGCAGTACCTCTAGCCAAAACCTTCCAATTGAGTTACTTTTTTTTTTAATCCTCACCCGAGGACATTTTTGCATTTATCCTCAGATAGAGAGGGGGGAAGAGAGAGAGAGAGAGAAACATCAATGCGAAAGAGGCACATCGAGTGGCTGCCACCCACATGACCCCAGCCTGGGGTGGGGACAAACTGCAACTGAGGTACGTGCCCTTAGTGGGAACCAAACTCGGGACTCTCTGGTCCGCAGGCTATGACACTCTAACCGCTGAGCCAAACTGGCCAGGGCTTGAGTTACTTTTATATATATATATATATATATATATATATATATATATTTTTTTTTTTTTTTTTTTTTTTTTTCCTTCCTATATTGATTTTAGAGAGAGAGGAAGGGAGAGGGAGAGATAGATAGAAAACATTGATTGGCTGCCTCCTGCATGCCCCCCACTGGGAATCAGGCCCACAACCTGAGTATGTGCCCTGACCGGGTATTAAACCAGTGGACCTCTTGGTGTGTGGGTCAGTGCTCAACCAGTGAGCCATACCGGCCAGAAATATTTACTTTTATCTAACCTTTTTTTAAAAGCTGAATATGCATTTTAAAAATAATTTACTTCAGTATAACCAGAAACAATGCGATAAGGAAATGATACTCAAACGGTAGTTTTTCTTCACTTTGCGGTCTAGACATTTTTGCTGACTACACACTGTTAATGACAGCAGCCCAGCAGCATTACTGAGGGCTTATCCACTTCATGTATATTAACTGTTGTATCTCACCAATCACCCCAGGAAGGTACTATTATTATTTATACTTCATTAGCATGGAGAAAATGGAAACAAAAGAAGGTTGAGGTCGCTTATCTGGGCTCACAGAGTAAGTGACTGAGCAGGGTCTCTACCCAACAGTCTGGTCACAAATCAGCTGCCCTTATATCATGTGGTGCTGGTTTCCCAGCCCGAGTTTCCAACTTGGTGTCTATGGCTCCCTTGGTTTAGGTTTGTAATCACCCTAATGTTATGTGAATGTGTGTGTGCACATTTTCCTGCATAGCGGTCCCACATATTCTGTGTTCTCCCACCTGAAAAAGGCAGGGAACCCTAATCCAGCCACTCCTTTCTATGCACTATGATTCTATGTGTCCCCTAGTAGACTGCCATCCCAGAAGGCCACTCTGCTCAAGAATGACTCCAGCAATGGGCTCTGACGGCTGTCGAGAGAACAAATCCCCAGTGGAGCCTCCTCCCCTCAGAGCCCACATGGAGCTCGTCATCCATATTGTTCTTTTGTTGTTGTTGTTCAGATAGAGTGGGAGGGAGAGAGAGAAACATTGACGTGAAAGGGACACATCAAGTGGTTGCCGCCCGCACAACCCAACCAGGGCCGGGGACAAACTGCAACCGAGGTATGTGCCATTAGTGGGAACCGAACCTGGGTCTCTTTGGACTGCAGGCTGACTCTCTGACCACTGAGCCAAACCAGCCAGGGCATCCATATTGTTCTTAAGGGTTCATGGCCTTCTGTTGAAATGGTATGGATTTTTATGGCCAAGAAATGACTGGAACCACTTTTCCTTATTCAGATATAAGCAAAAAAGAATACCTCTTTTTTTTTTAACATTTAAGACATTGTGTGCTGTGTAGATTGTTTTGCTCCTTTTTTTACTGAACAGTGTGTCCAGTACATAGAAAATACAGCCAGTATTTGTTGAGCATTTATGTCCCGGGCATTGTTCTAAGCATTTGACATATGAGCTACAGTAAATCATTGAGTCTTCTCATAGTGCTGTGAAGAAGGTCCTTTTATTACCCCATTCTATGGTTGAGGAATTTGGGGCACAGAAAGGCCAAGTAACTTGTGTATGGTCGTATAACTAGTCAGTGGAATGCATCCTTCCTCCTGTAAGATAAATTGTTGGTGCACCAGGTCCATGATCATTGTGGTCCCACCTCCACTTAGCATGGCACTCTGGAAAGGGGGTGCGTGCTTGGTGTTTGCTGAGTGAAGAGATGATCTGCTGGTTTTGTATAGTAGCCATCTTTCTGCTTAATATAGGGCATTTAAACATTTACTTTTCATGTCCAGGCCTTAGTCATCAGATTATAAGAAGTTACATTTTAGATGCATATTTTGATTGTGGCTTATCAGGTCAGTTATAATTGGCAGGAAAGATGTTAAATGTCCTTGATTTGCTGACATACCAAGTTGTCACTGGAAGTTCCAGCCAGAATAAGGTCATAAAATGACTGCTAAATGTTATTTTCCCTATTACAGGTTTGCCTATAACAGGGCATGTTATTAAATTCAGTTCTGTCTGACCTAAAAATTTAGAAGCTTTTTGTTTTAATCTATGAAAGAACTTTTCATGGGTTTAATGAAGAAGATTCTCCAACAACAAAAAAGCATGGAAAGTTAAGGGGCAAAGAAATTCGAAAGGAGAAAATGTTGTTTTATGCCATCTCACTATCTTGCCTCCAGCAGCCAACCCATTTCAGCTCAGTTCCAGAAATGAAGGCTTCAGCAGGCATCTGGTGAAGGGGCTAAATTTGACATAGATCTTTAGGAACTCTTACTCTCCCAGCCTTGTTGGCCTGAAGTCAGGACTAGACTAGGGTGTTATTATGAGAGGAGGTCTCTGAAGTAGTGAATGTGGAAGGCAGGAGCAGGTGGACATTCTGGATTGCTCACTGTTTTGTGATTGTTTCTGCAGGGGGGAAAGGAAGTGGTATCTTTGAGGAATCAACACCTGTGCACGCTCGACAGCGTCTGAACCCACCTGGTGGGAAGACCAGTGACATTTTTGGGTCCCCAGTGACTGCCACTTTACCCTTGGCACATCCAAACAAACCCAAGGTATGGACTACATTCGGATAGCAGACATGAAAGTAAGAAAAGCAAACATTGAGCCAAGTTCTTTTTTCAAAAGCTGTGAGGCCTTGACATGTTATTAGGAAGAGACAAGAAGGGTGACGTTGGTTTTCCTGGGTGCAGTCATTAGTAATTGAGTTTTGAAGCTCCCCTGAGTCATCGGAGAAGTAGATTCCAACCCATGATGACTGAGCCCTGGGGGAAGCTGGTCTTAGTGTGTCGATGGCAGCAACTGCCACTTCAGATAGGCTATTGCTCGTCTCTGCACATCACTGAGGGGTGGTAAGAATAGTTATAAAATGGATCATATAAAGAGTTCACATTTCACAAAAATTTTACAATTTTTAGTGGTCATTAATAAATACAACTGCATTGGATTCAAATTCACCAAGTATTTAGAATTCATGGGTTCCCTAATTATATTTTGTTGTTGTTGTTAATCACCACCCAAGAATATTTTTCCTTTTTTTTTTTTTAGATAGAGTGGAAGGGAGGGATGGGGGTAGGGCGGGGGGAAGAGAATCATCTATGTGAGAGAGACACATAGTTGGTTGCCTCCCATACGACCCCTACTAGGGTTGGGGATTGAACCTGCAACACAGGCACATGCCCTTGACCAGAAATTGAACCCATGACTCCTTGATCCATGGGCTGACACTCTAACCATGGAGCAAAACTGACCAAAGTGAAAATTGCCATTTATTTATTTATTTATTTATTTATTTATTATTGTGCTAATTAATTAATTTATTTTTGTTACAGATGTTTCTCCTTTTTCCCCCCACTGATTCCCTCTTCCCCCTCCCTCCCCGCCCTGTCCTCAGCTTTGTTGTCCATGTCCATTTTTCATGCATACATGCATGAAAGTTGCCTTTTATAAAAGTACTCCAGAATATAATTGAAGAAGGAATAACAATTCAAATATCACAAATATCAAATATCAAATTTTGCAGACTTGTAATGAAATTGTGGATCTAGGCAGTGATCATCAGTGGCTCCTAACATCACAAAACTAGAGACAAACCAAGAACTATGGGACCCATAATAGAAGGCCATTGTGGACAACCTTTGATTATCAAAAAAGCAGGACCAAATTAGATGAAACCTCATATTAGTTGACATCATAGGGACTCAGTCAGAGTTATCCAAAATATAGGAAATGAATGGGAGAGTGGAGAGATATCCTTAAGACTTAAGAACACTATCCCTATCAAAGTCCCAATGATGCTTTTTTGAAACAATAGGAAGATCCATCTTAAAATTCTTATGAAGTCTCAAGGGACCCCAAGTAGTCAGTCTTAAAAATGAAGAACAAGGTTGGAGTCTCACTCTTCTCAATTTCAAATTTTACTACAGTAATCAAAACAGTGTGCTACTGGCATAAAGATAGACATATAGACCAGTGGAATAGAATTGAGAACCAAGAAATAAATTATTTCATTTATGGTTAATTGATAGGTCTACAGAGTGCCAAGATCATTCGGTGGGGGCACGAACAATCACTTCAACAGATGGTGCGGGGGAAATTGGATATGCACATGCATAAAACTGAAGGTGGACCCTTACTTTGCGCCATATACAAATATTAACTAAAAGTGGCCCACTTCGTGTTGTTGAGCATCATTCCATGCACCAAGAGGTTGCCGGTTTGATTCCTGGTCAGTTACATGCCCTGGTTTTCGGTTTGATCCCCACTGGAGGGGGCGTACAGGAGACAGCTGATCGATGTGTCTCTCTCATCGATGTTTCTCTATCTCTCTCCCCCTTTCTCTCTCAAATAAATAAATGAATAATAATAATAATAATAATCATAAAGAATTATTATAACCAAACAACAAAAAGTTAACCCAATTCAAAAATGGGTAAAGGGCCCTGGCTGGTTTCGCTCAGCAGTTAGAGTATCGGCCCACAGACCAAAGAGTCCTGGGTTCGATTTCAGCAACAGCATGCATCTCAGTTGCAGTTTGTCCCCAGCCCAGTTGGGGTCGTGCAGGTGACAACCAGCGATGTGTCTCACGTCGATGTGTCTGTCTCTCTCCCTCTCTCTCTCTCTCTCTCTCCCCCTCCCTCCCTCCCTCTCTCCCTGAAGATAAATGTAAAAATACCTTCAGATGAGGATTTTTTTTTTTAATTAAGAAATTAAAATTTTTTTTTAAATGGGCTAAGAGTCCTGGCTGGTTTGGCTCAGCGGTTAGAGCATCAGCCTGCGGACCAAAGAGGCCTGGGTTTGGTTCCCACAAAGGGCACATACCTTGGTTGCAGTTTGTCCCCGGCCCCAGTTGAGGCTGTGTGGGTGGTGACCAGTCGATGTTTCTCTCTTACGTCGATGTTTCTCTCTCTCTCTCTCTCTTCCTCCCTCTCTCCCTCCGGCTCTATCTGAAGATAAATGCAGAGGATGTCCTCGGGTGAGGATTTTTAAAAAATGGGCAAAGGACTTGAATAGACATTTCTTCAATCAACAAATGAAAAGATGCTCAACATTGTTAGTAATTAGGGAAAGGCACATGAAAACTACAATGAGGTACCACTTCATACCCACTAGGATGGCTATTAAAAGAAAAAATAATAAATGTTGACAAGGATATGGAAAAATTGAAACTTTCATACATTGTTGTTGAGGATGTAAAACGGTTCAGGTACTGGAAAACAGTTGCAGTTTTCTGAAAAAATTTAAACCATAGGATTCAGCTCTTCTACTCTTAAGTACGTATCCCCAAAATTTGAAAACAGGAACTCAGATACTTGTACACCTATTTTAATAGCATTACTTACAATGATGCTATTAAACAACCCAGTGTCAGCCAACAGATGAATGGATAAATAGAATGTGTTATACACATATAATGGGATATTGAGCTGTAAAAAGGAAAAATACATGCTACAATGTGGATGAGCCTTGAAAACATATCCTAATATTCTAAAATTTGACTAGGTGTTAGACATTTAAGGAATTGGTTATTTTCTCAGTTGTGAGAATGTTATGTTTTATTTTTTAAAGGACAGTTTCAAGAGCCATGTCTTCAATTATTTATGGGTAAATGAAATTTCTGAAATTTGCTTTAAAATAATTCCACAAGTGGGTGGAGAGTTTGAAGTTGGGAGAAATGTGTGGCCGAGACCAGGATGACAGTGAGTTGATGTCATTGCAGCTTTACAGCAGATTATGAGGGGATTCATAGTGCTACTTTGTTTATGGTTTAAATTGTCCATAATAAGAACATTTTTATGTTTTTGTTAATTTTTAGAGTGGAAGAGGGGAGGGGGAGACAGAGAGAATCATTGATGTGAGAGAGACACATTGATTGGTTGCCTTTCAAAGGACCCCAACCTGGGCCAGAGATTGAACCTGCAACCATACAGTCCATGGACCAATGCCCTAACCACTGAGCCAAACCAGTCAGGGCTGAAAACATTTTTAGAAGTTAAAAATTAACCCAAGCCATCCATCCATGCCTTGATTCTCATCATCCATCTGAATGAGGGTGAAAAGTTTCTGAATCACATATTGACCTGGGGTTTGCCTTGTTGTAGGACCACGTGCTCTTGTGTGAAGGAGAAGACCCAAAATTGGACCTTAAAGGTGAGTTTCTGTTTCTTGTCCCCTCCCCTAAGTGCTCTCACTCCGGAAGAGTTGCTGGTGCACCCCAGAGGATGAGGTAATATTCCTGTTCTATTTGCAGGTCAGCTGACAAAACAAGGCAAAGTTGTGTTTATTGCTGGGAGGATTTAGTATTTGAAGAAGGCCAGGAAATTGGGCTGTAATTTCTGGTAAAAGCTTTCCAACTGGTCACCAGTGGGTTTTTTTTTTCACTTCTTGTCATTACTAATCAGCCTAGGCCTAATACCAAGCCAATAGATCTTTTGAAGGGAAGGGCAGGGATCCAAAGTCTGCAATATACCTGTGACCAAGGGTAGCAGTAGCAGAACTAATGCGGAAAGGAATGGCATAAGAAGAGCAGGACAGGAAGGATCAGAAGGGAGAATGTGAGGCCTGCATGTGGTGGGGAGAGCTGGTGCCTCCATAATCCGTTACAGGGAATGAGCTGCCCCATAGTAGGGCTAGATGTCAGACTCTGAGTCCCACTGTTGTTCTCTAAGCTGACTGTGAGCACTGATTTCTGCCTTTGGGTCACCATTTCCCTCAATTGATGACCAAGATACATGGGAATTTGTTCATTCAAAAAATCCAGACTAGTAGTGTCAGAAAACCTCACTTCATCTTGCTAGACCCTCCAGTTAAGACTAGCTTCCTCTTTTCATGCTCACTTTGAGATAGTTTGTTTTTTATATTTAAGGTAAAAAAAAAAATGCGAGGGAATGGAGTCCCAACAAATATATAAGACGTAATGAACTTATTTAGGAATTTATCAAGAATTGTTGATAGTACTTAGCCTCAACTTTATGCCCAGTTCAAGAATAATCAGTGAGTTCTTGGTACAGATGGAAGCCTTGCTCTGTTTTTCCCATTACAGTATGTCTTCTTACTGGCTGGTCTGTGTCACAGACTTTTCATGTGTACAGCTTGCCCATCCAGGTATTGGGGAGTCTCTAATGGGGTGGTTTGCTGCTTTGTTCCACAGCCCCAGCGAGCACCTTGCCCAGAGAAGAGCCGGGTGAGAAAGGTGGCCCAAGAGAAGCAGACCATGTCCAGGAGCCCCAGCCCATGCCCGCGGTTGACAGCCATGAGCCCAGGCTGGGTCCACGGCCTCGATCTCACAACAAAGTCCTGAATCCACCTGGAGGCAAATCCAGCATCTCCTTCTACTAGAGAAGTTATTGCTTCCCCTGTAGCCACACAAGAAACTTGAGAGATAGGATTTCAAATATAGTTTTATTTAGCCCAAAGGAATGGGGGTGGGGAGAGGGTCTGTCGTTTATCTGAAGCCACTGCTCAGGCTCCATTGCCACCATGAGAGCCACAGAAGACCTCACCTTCCAGACTGCCGAGAGACATTTTTGTGGGGGGAAAATGTGACTCCTTGCTGAACACTCATTTATAATTTTGGATGTGATAGGAACTCTCAGATGGGCTGGGTGGGGAGCTGGTGCAAGGCTTCAGGAGGACCTGATGAAGTGGGATTTTTCATGTCCTTTCTGCATAGGTGATCTGCCAGCCAATTGGCTATCTAGGAATCACTTCACACAGTAGCAGAGTTTAAAGCCTTAGAAAGAAAGCCCAAAACAACCTGTATGTTGGGCATAAGCCGAAATACTAGTCTCCGTTCTTGAGACTACTGCTGCTAAATCCTGAGGCCTCATTTGCACTCAGGCACAGTATTCTGCAGTCTTTTCTTGAAACATTTTTCTCGGCAGCTGTCAACAAAAACCAAAAAGTTATTTTCAGTCTTATGCTTTATGGAGACATTTTGTATCCCAATCCTCTGGTGTGATCTGCCTTTCACTCATGAGGGACTGGTCTCGGTCTCTTCACAGACTGATTTAGCTTGTGAATTATTTCTTTTTTTTCTCTCATCCTTAAGTCTCGGCCTTAGCTCTTCCCCAGTGATGTGGACAGTTCCTTTGTGTGCCTGGCTCACTGACTTCTGTAAGACTAAAATTCTGTCCAGACACATAATTGGGTTACTTAAATCCTTCGTGGGTCTTACTTTGTTCCTCTTGACACTGGGAAGAAGAGATGCTTGAGAACCTTGAGTTCTTAGGTTCGAATTATTTAATAATATCTAAAGAGCTATTCTTAAACACCAGCTTTACATAAGTGACTATTGACTCTGATCTGTTTCTGACACCTCTCTAGAAAAAAGTCCACTGCTCAGGTACACCAAAGAGGAAGAAAACTTTGCTTAGGCCACCCTTTGTAAAGCTTTGCAGAACCTTTGGACCATGTTCAGTTTCCAGAAGAGACTTGGAGATCTTGGGCTATGAGATCAAGTAGTGTAGAAGCAAAGCCTCAACTGGTCAATTCTGTATCAGCAAAGCTAACGGCCTGGCAAGTCATGTTGCTTTAATCTTTTGGGCAGAAGTTTCTCCCGTTCAGCCTCCTAAGGGTTATAGTCTCCATCACTCATGCTGGACCAGTAGTTAACAGAGGAGAGTGAGTTTATGTGTGGTGGCTGTTGGTATGAGTGCCCACAGAGCTAATGCCAGGTGCTAGAAATGTCTTCACTTATTAAAATTGAGAAAAGAAACACCTGTGTTTAGTTACAACCACAGTGGCTGAGACACTAAGTGCCTGCAGGAGCTGCCTGCCAAACCCCGCTGCTTATACCCGGCACATTGAGGGGATCTGCATGTGGCCTTGTCAGCCAAAGAGTTTCCCTCCTTTCAGTTGTCCTGCTGACTTTGGAGCCAAGAAATAACTCATTTAATGTGACTTTATCAGTTACTTCCTGTCCCATGTTTCCAATGGTCATTTTTAAGAGACTTGTTTGGAATTCCGAGCACTTTTTCCCCCATTAAAATATGTCATAAGTGGTGGTTAGCTTTTAATCCCAAACACACTAACTTGTTTAACTTACAATAAAATGTGCTAATGGTGGAAATGAACTGCCATTTATAACTACATTTTGTTTTTTAATATATAAGGAAATAATGTGTGAATTTCAAATTGGGTTGCTAGGAAGAACCCTGATGTACTGCTGGCCCTTTTGGCTACACCCCCGCCCTCACCATCAGCTGAATGAGAGGAAGAACTCTAGTTCTGTCCATTGGCAGGGATTCCTGAACTCTTAGCATTCTGTTCCCAACCACTAACCTGCATTGAAAAATGACCAGTCCGTATTTTTATTAAGCCTTAAAACTTTATGTACATTTGGTGCCAACTTTTTTCTAGAGCTGTATCAAAAACAGCAAACTTGTACTCACATCACAATGTAATTTTGATAGAAACATTTTGTTATTTTTACAAGGCAGATTTGGGTAACAATTAAACTTAGTAATTGAATTTGAATTAAACTTAGTAATTATGTGCTCAGTTTTTGCCTATTTGTTGTCTGTGTGGGTACATACACACTTTCCTTAACGTCTATTCCCCAAAGTGCCTGACCTTGCTCCTTCCTACACAGCTTTTCATCAGTGAGTGGGTTTGTCTTTTTATTCCACTTAGCCAGAGAATGCCCAAACTAGCCTTCTCTGAGGTTATGGATTTAGATTCTTTTATTTGAAAACCAAAGATTTAGCTTTGGGTATAGTGAGCAGGAATGTGCAAGAGTTTTTTTCAGTTTGTATAAGTTAATGATTCTTTTTATTCTCCCACCACTTGTTTTCCTAAAGAACTGAAGGTATTGAACTTGCCTCTGAATTGGCTTTGAAACCGTCCAGTGACAAGCCTTATAATGAGTAGATGAGGTGCTGAGTTGTTGAGTTTGCCTGTAGATTCAGGTCCTGTAGAGAAAGTATATATTAGCTATTTTCTTTTGGTTAATCCTCACCCAAGGATATTTTTCCATTGATTTTTTTTTTTTTAGACCGAGTAGAAGAGATTGAGAGAGAGACGGAAGGAGAAACATTGATTGGTTGCCTCCCGCACGACTCCAACCAGGGCCAGGGGTCAGACCTGCAACCCAAGTATGTGCCCTTGACTGGGAATTGAACCTGTGGCCCTTTGGTCCAAGGGTTGACGCTCTAACCACGGAGCAAAACAATCCAGGGTCGTATTAGCTATCAGAACAGCACTTCAGAAAGAAACCTGACATGGGTTACCTAACATCTTCATTTGTTCATTTGAACATGTGTTTGGGAGTGCAGAGAGTATTCCAAAAGCTGGGCTAGGCTCTGGCAACATTACATTACTTATTTGTCTGGCTGGGTTGCTCAGTTGATTGGAGCGTCATCCAGACATGCCAAGGTTGCTGGTTCAATCCCTGGTCAGGGCTTGTATCATACAAGAATCAACCAGTGAATGCATAAATAAGTGGAACAACAAATTAATGTTCCTCTCTTAGGAAAAAAGAATCAATACATTACCTTTTTTTTTGGTTATTAATTCTCACCCAAGAAATTTTTCCCATTGATTTTTAGAGAGAGTGTAAGGGAGATGGGGTGGGGGAGAGACAAACATCCACATGAAAGAAATACATAGATCGGTTGCCTCCCACACATTCCCCAAATGGGGCCAGGGATCAAACCTACAACCCAGGTACGTGCCCTTGATCAGGAATCGAACCCACAACTTTTCAGTGTGCAGCTGGAGCTCTAATCACTGGACCACACCAGCTAGGGCAATACATTACCTATTTGTAACAGCCCTTCCAGCCACAGGTGAGCACTGAGGTCTTGGAATGTCACAACCTATTTGTCTGAAAGGACCAAGGTAGCTTCACAAATGTTATGGTGAGGTGTGAATAACATCAAATAGTTGCCACTTCCAAGACCTGTGTCTTGTCCAGAAATCCAATGGCTCTTGATGGAACATAATTTGTTCTATTATCTGTGTGAATCGAACATTGCAAGGATGTATGTACCTTCCCTTGCGTTATCCAGTTCATTTCTTCAGAACTCATTATGTTCTTAATCCTTGGCTTTCTTGGAGATCATGAATGAAGTAATCCTGTTTTATATTTGACTGCAAAGTGCTATCTAAAATTTAACTTGGGAAGAAATGAGGGACATTACAGGGATCTAAGTGACTTTTCAGTAGGCATTAAGGATACTTAGAAATTACAGTAGAACTTTTGAAACCTGTGTGCCCATGTGACACTTCAGGGTCTTGTAATGAGAAAAAGAAAAAGTTATATTCCAAATTATCTTTACAAATCTGAAAGAAAACTTTATCAAGAAGTTCTAGCCCTGGCCAGTGTGGCTCAGAGGTTAAAGCATCAGCTTGCACACCAAAGGTTTGCAGGTTCGATTCCCCATCAAAGGCATGTACCTGAATTGCAGGTTTGATCCCTGATCCCAGTTGGGCATGTGCGGGAGGCAACCAATTAATGTGTCTGTCATACATCAATGTGTGTGTGTGTGTCTCCCTCCTACTCTTTCTAAAAATCAATGGGAAAAAAATACCCTCAGGTGAGGATTAACAAAATAAAAAGGTAAATTCTAGCCCTGGCTGAGTGGTTCAGTTAGTTGGAAAGACTTTTGTACACCAAAAGTTTGTAGGTTCGATTCCTGGTCAGGGCACATACCTAGATTGCAGGTTTGATCCCCTATTGGGGTGTGGACAGGAGGCAATCAATAGATGTTTCTCCCTTCCTCTTTCTAAAAATCAATGAAAACATCCTTGGGTGAAGATTTAAAAAAAAGTGCTAATCAGTTAGATTGCTCTCTCAAGAGTGTTCCAATTGCATTCTTCAGTAAGCAGCAGGAGTTATCCAGCATGTCGTGTTAAAACTTCATTTTGTTTTAACCAATTTCAAGTAACAAATCTGTCTAATCAAGTTAGTAATAAACACTAATAAAGTTGATGGCCAAGTCAGTTGACTTCTCTTGGTAGTAGGGGCTGCCCTACTGTATTTACTACTTCAGGAATTCAAATGGGTCAAATTTCTGAGAAAGGGCCTAAGGTTGAAGTTTACACATTCCCCAAAACACTCACAAGCTTTCTCTGTAACTTGCTCACCAGGAAAACAAAAACATAAAAAAATTTCCTCTGTTTGTCCTGACTTAATTTGAGAATATAAAACTAGTAATTCATATAACATTTATTGCATGCTTTACTATTTGCTAGAGATGGTGCTAAATCCATTTCATGGATTAGCTTACTTTATGAAATTCCCAGTGGGTTGGTAATATTTTTAAGCTCAGTTTTACAGGTTTGGAAACAAGGATTAAGGCACTTAGCTAGAATCAAAGCACAGACCGTCTGAATCCTAAGACTGAAAACTCAGTTTATCTTATAGTGGGTGGGTGGGCATCCATACAGCAAATTAGGCTGCAAGGAGACAATGTGTGTAATAGTGTTTAGGGCACTACCAGGTTAGGATGAAAGGTCCTGTCATCAGGATGAATGGAGTTTGAAGCATTTCATTAGGGGAAAGGCAGGGGTGAGAGCATTTCTGTTAGCATTAAGCTGTCATTAATGATTTGGTTTGGCTTAGGTCAAAATTCACACTACCTGTGTGGCTCCCGAGCTGAAAGTGTAAGTCTTGGGTTAGTAGTGTCCTCATGCCTGTGAAAGAAAATAAATCCTCTGGAGCAGCTCATTTTAAATTTGGGCCTTAAAGTATTTCCACAGATTACTCCAAGGAATAGCCCAAGGGAAGGGAGGAGCAGCCTGAGCAAGAGTCAACCAAAATAACACTGCAGATTCAGACCTGCAAAGGCTGCAGACATTGTAATTATGAGATTAAAACAAAAACCACTATACAGAAATTTATTTAAATTTTTTTTTTCTTTATTGATTTTTAGAGTGGAAGGGAGAAGGAGAGAGAAACATCGATGAGAGAACATCGATTGGCTGCCTCCTGCACTGCCCCCACTGGGACTCGGGCCCACAACCTGGGCATGTGCCCTGACCAGGAATCAAACTGTCAGTCTCTTGGTGCATGGGTTGATGCTCAACCACTGAGCCACACCGGCTGGGCAAAACTAAAGAGATTTGAAATAAGTAGCTAAAAGTGGAGGAAATGAAAGCCTATCCAAATTAGTAGAATATAAGAAAATCATAGAGGACAAATAGAAATTTAAAACATGACCATTGAGCCCTGGCTGGTTTGGCTCGCTGGTTAGAGTGTCAGCTCAACAAAAGGGTTGAGGGTTCGATTCCCCCAGTCAAGGGCACGTACCTGGGTTACAGGTTCAATCCCTGGCTCTGGTCTGGGTCATCGTGGGAGGCAACCAATCAATGTGTCTCTTTCATATCAATGTTTCTCTCTCCCTTACACTCTATCTGAAAACCAATGGGCCCTGGCCAGTTTAGCTCAGCGGTTAGTGTCGGCCTGCGGTCCAGAGAGACCCGGGTTCAGTTCCTGCTAAGGGCACATATCTCAGTTGCAGTTTTGCAGTTTGTCCCCGGCCCTGGTTGGGTCGTGCGGGAGGCAGCCACTTGATGTGTACCTTTCACATCGATGTCTCTCTCTCTTTCTCTCTCTCTCTCTCTCTCCCCCCTCCCCCTGAACAAAAAAATGGAAAAATGTCCTCAGGTGAGGAGGAAAAAGAAAAAAAAAAAAAAATGGAAAAAAAATCCTCTGGTGAGGATTAACAAAAATAAAAATAGCCTGGTGGGTGTTGCTCAGTGGATTGAGCGATGTCCCATGTATTGAGAGGTCCCTGTTCAATTCCTGGTCAGGGCACATTCTTGGGTTGCAGGCTCAGTCCTCAGCAAGGGGGTGTACAGGAAGCAGCTGATTGATGTTTCTCACATTGATGTTCTTATCTCTCTCTCCCTTCCTCTCTCTAAAAAAAAATCAATAAAGGCTGGCTGGTGTGGCTCAGTGATTGAGCATCAACCCATGCACCAAGAGATTGACAGTTCGATTCCTGGTCAGGGCACATGCCTAGGTTGTGGGCCCAATCCCCAGTGGGGGGCATGTAGGAGGCAGCCAATCCATGTTCTCTCTCAATGATGTTTCTCTCCCTCTTTCTCTAAAATCAATCAAGAAAATTAAAATATTAAAAATAAAATTTAAAAATTAGTAACAACATATTTTAAATTTTAAAAAAAAATAGTAAATAAAATATAACCGTTGAGCCCAGCAGCCCCTGTGGCTGAGTTGGTTGACTTTTGTCCAGTGCACCAGGATATCTAGGGTTAGATTGTCAGGGCATATGCCCCTGTTGTGGGCAGATCCCCAGTAGGGGGCGTGCAGGAGGCAGCCCTTGGATGATGTTTTTCTCTCGATGTTTCTCTCCCCTCTCCTTAAATCAATAAAATCATATTTAAAAATATAAAATAAGACCATCGAAATTTAAAAATTAAATGGATGGGCTAAATAGGTTACACAGCTGAAGTGAAACTGGGAAATCTGAAGAAGTTACACAAAATACAGGACATCCAAGTAGGCTAAATGACAGCTTATTACCTAAATTTTAGGATGAGAAGGGCAACTTG